CACCTAATATTATTCGTCGTAAAGTTAGACAATAAAATAGGACGATTTGATTGGTCCGCGACGGACGACGCGACGCGTGACGCACAAAGTGGGAACTCAGCCTAATGCAGGATTCACACCGCATCCGATGTCCGACATACGACGTCCGATATCCAATAGGAGAACAACTTTCTAATATAGAATTCAATTCTCCTTTGGAATGCTATTCTTTTATTGGATATCGGACGTCGTATGTCGAATATCGGACGCGATGTGAATCCTGCATAAGGCTGATATTACATGTGTCGTACGATAAGCTTTTTGGGTACGTTCATTGGTTGACGAACAGAGAACCTAAACATACTTTATTTGCTAACCAATAACATATCCGAAAAGCTTATTATATGACACATGTAATGGATGCTTTCCATTTAATAACACAAGTCGACACAAGCATTGACTGCGTTCAGCAGAGAAAGCAGCTTTGCAACTGTTGTAAAATTCGTAAATCTGATTTAAAATCTGACGTAAAATCTGTAAAATTCGTAAAACAATTTTACTCGGTGAGTAGAGTACATTTAATTGACCAATCATGATAAAGAAATCCTAATTATCTTTGTTCTTATTGATCAATTAAATGCTACTCTACCCGTTGAATAGAGTTTTGGAACACAGCCTAGCAGTCTATATTAGCATGATACTAAAGCCCGTATCAGACTATAGATTAGGATTGAGATTGAATTGAAAATTGGCCAATCAGAGCAAAGTTCATCAAACTTGAGCTTAGTGAATTTTGCTCTGATTGGCTAAATTTTAATTTTAATTTTAATTTTATCTCAATTCTAATCTATAGTCTGATACGGGCTTAAAGCCGGAATCAGACTACGCATTGGAGATTGAGGATTGCGGATTGAAGATTGCTATTTGACCAATTAGAGCAAAGCAAGCCAAAACCGAAGGTCGTTGATTCGTTGAAATCTAATCTTCAATCCGCAATCCTCAATCTCCAATGCGTAGTCTGATTCCGGCTTAACAGTCCGTGACTAAGGCTAGTGGCACATAAAAAAACTTAAGCAGTAAAACGTAAGCAGTAAACAAATTGACCAATCACAGTCATTGATTCTTCTTAAGGTCCAAGAATCAACGACTGTGATTGGTCAATTTGCTTACTGCTTACGTCTTATTGCTTAAGTTTTTCTGTATGCCACGGCCCTAAAGCGTCTTCTACAATGGCAGTAGGAGTAGTAGTAAGAAATAAGCAGTAAGTAAATAGACCAATCACAATCGATTATTTTTGAAACGTAAGAATTGAATTGGTCAATTTGCTTACTGCTTATTTCTTACTACTACTCCTACTGCCATTGTAGAAGACGCTTAAGGCTGCATTCCGAAATTCACTGCGAGTACTGAAAATCTATAAAGCGTCTTCTACAATGGCAGCAGGAGTAGTAGTAAGAAATAAGCAGTAAGCAAATTGACCAATTCCATTCTCACGTTTCAAAAATAATCGATTGTGATTGGTCTATTTACTTACTGCTTATTTCTTACTACTACTCCTACTGCCATTGTAGAAGACGCTTAAGGCTGCATTCCGAAATTCACTGCGAGTACTGAAAATCTATAAAGCGTCTTCTACAATGGCAGCAGGAGTAGTAGTAAGAAATAAGCAGTAAGCAAATTGACCAATTCCATTCTCACGTTTCAAAAATAATCGATTGTGATTGGTCTATTTACTTACTGCTTATTTCTTACTACTACTCCTACTGCCATTGTAGAAGACGCTTAATTCATGTCACGTATACCATAGAATTTCAGTATTGGTAGTGAATTTCGAAACGCAGCCCAAATCTAACGCAACCTAACCTAACTTCAAGGAACCTAATTTAACAACATATAGGCGTATTGGTTCTTTGTTATTAAATTTGAAAAGGTAAAAATCTGTTAATAGTCAAAGATAATAGAAATATAATGCATAAAATATATGTTTTCATAATTCTATATTGTATCTAAAATATATTTTAGATTAATATATTTTAAATTCTCATTTCGTATAAAAAATAATTTATTCAAAGTATTAAATAACCTGACTTTTTATGCCGATTTATTGTATTTGTTTTAATTAAATCGCAATACGTAGATATTTATCTAATGATTTAAATATTTCTCAATATTTATATTTATTGTAATAAGTATTTATTGTAATAAGTTTATATCACTAAAAGTTACAACTTTTTTTTATAGAAATTCAATATGAACCTGCGACCACCGAGGAAAAAGAAGAGAGTGAAGTTGAAGCCACAAATACCATTTCCTATTCCTTTAAATGGAACAGAGGAATGGCCAGTGTACACAGCTCATCTGACAGATGTAGGCTCGTGTATAATTGAACCTGAAGAGATTAATGCAATACATTCTATGGTAAGACTAAATCTTATTAGACTGATCTTCCTTTTATTTGCAATAGCTAAGAATAAATAGTATTTATCCATAGGGTTTTTTTGGCAAGGGATCATTGTCACGTAGTTACCCTTCTTTTGGTAAAGCAAGATATGGAGCACCACCAGTTATTCGGAATAGACAATGGCTTCGCAGGCAAGAATGGCTAAAAGAAGTTAAAAAGTTAAACTCAGCTTCTGCTTCAAACTATAAAGGTGCAGAATAAGCAATATTTTCTGATATTTATAAAATGTTATCAAAATTATATAAAAGTATATCTTATATGTAAAGGAAATGTGTTGATATCCAGATTTTAATTATAAAAACCTATAAATTGTAGAACTTGTAATTGAAAATTGAGAAAACAAACATTAGCTCTTTTTTTGTAAGATATATATAATAAAATATGATGTAATTGCAGATACTAAAATGGCTACTGAAAGTGAAGAAGAAAACGCTATGGATAATCAGAAAGAAAATCTCGATGAGGTTGTTGAAATATATTCGAATCCCACTATAGACAATGCAAGCGAGCAAAACGAAGTTGCTACAAAAGATATAGAAGTTATACATGATGAAGTTGTACTTGATTCTACAGAGGAAGACGACGTATGCGTAATCGTTAATAGAGACTCTGACAAATGTGATGATGTTAAAAACGTTCATGATAATGATAATCAAGATTGCCTAGAAGAGGAGAAAGACGTCGAGGAACTCTGTAATTTAGACTATTATGACTTCAAAGGTACTGACGAACACGCGAATGATGATAATAATCTTCATGGAAATGTGTTGGTTCTACCGGACAGCGACTCGGAGACGGAAAACTATCTGCAGAATATCAAACCGAGAATCGAGAACGAGGGTTTTCCCATTCGCGAGGCTTTGCATCTCACCTTTGAAGAAACCTTCTTTCTAATGTTCGGATTGGGCTGCTTGCAAGTGATTCATTTCGACGGCAGCTTATTTGACATCAATAACGCTTGGTTATACTTTTGCAAGGAGAAAACGGACTTCCTGCAGAAATATGTGGTCTACCATTATTACAGAAGTAAAGGATGGGTAGTCAAACCCGGTATAAAATATGGCGGCGATTTTTGTTAGTATTTATTACGTTTTTTTTTAAATATACTATTGAATATTTTCTTATCTAAGGTTGTTAAATGTTATCTGTATCACAGGAATTTCTAGAAACATTTCAGTGAATTGGAAATCACTTTCATGATTATTTTATTTTCTGTTATAGAGAACTACTTAAATATTAGATATAATTCTTCTCTTTGAAAATATTTTTCATAAAATTGCTATCTTATATCTATTTCTAAAATATTTATTAATATTCTAGTGCTTTATAAAGAAGGACCACCCTTTTATCATGCTTCTTACATCGTCATAGTCGAAGTAGTGGACGCGGACTCATTAATTTTAGATCCTACTGTGTCTACTCGATCTGTTACGTGGACCAATTTATTTGGACTGGAAAGACTCTCCGAATCTGCTGCAAAGGTATAAATAAAATATATAGATACAGAAAATTGCAACGAAATTTTTTAAAACATTTTATTCGCAGGAAATACTTTTTGCACAAGTTTTGTGGCCGTCATCTGTATCTCAGGATATCAGCATGACCAGCCCCGAAATACTCTCCGAATTTACTGTAAGGGAATTGTTGTGGCGTCGATGGAATCCGAAACAACATCGGGAAGACATTCCTACTGAAGAAGAAGAAGACGACTCCTGCTAAAGAATTTTTTATAATTATTTATAAACGCGAGTAATGTTGCAACATTTTTTTATAGTTCTATTTTATGTTATATATCGATTTATACGTCATTCACTATGTTAATTGAAAAGTATATGAATAGGTTTTTATAAAAACATTGGTACATATTGAAGCAAAACACATAGGTTATTACAATACTATATCGTGAAACAGTTGCTGCAATAATTGTGTAATTTTGTAACTTATAATAGTCACAATAATCATGGACTGCTATAATAACACATGTTTATGACATAGTCCAAGTATTTTCAACATGATGAAGTATCATTACATCTCGTAAGGTACTAGAACACATTTATGTAAAGCAGAGTATTTCGTGCGAGCATATTTGAAGCTGAGTTTTATTACTCTTCGTTATTTCCATCAACATTAAAAAAAGAGATATACACACGCACACACATCTTAATATTTACTTATATTACTAAACACCTGTATAATGAACACCTGTACTTATGAAAACTAGGCTTTTCTTTTTTAGTTACTCAATTCAGAGAGTCTTGCGTTATATATGCGTGAGAGATATAATTAAATATATACATAATGAAATACAATTAAATCGCACTAGATACTCGGATATTTTTATGCCAAGTATTCGAATATTTATATTTTCTCTTTCTCCGTAGGATAGCGGCGCGCTGTTATGCCGGATCGAATCGCGCCGTATCTTTATCAACGATCGGCGACTCGCGAAGGTGCCGTAGCCAGACGCGGCAAGTATCGCAAAGCTGTTGCTCGCGAAGTGAAAGCCGCGGAATCGCGGGGACTCGTACTGTGGGCCCACGGTCTCGCGCAGTCAGTACGAATCGAGCTGAGAGCTGGCATGACGATCGCCGTGCACCGCGTGTAGTCGTCAACGAGTCATCACATCGAGCATCTCTAAAAGGATCTAGCCCATATCAGGGATAACGCGGTTCCACGCGCGATCTGGTATGTAGAAAATCAATAGATTTTCTTTCCTATTTTTTTTTTTTTTTTATTAATCTCGGAAGAGATATACAATTTTGCGAATAATAAGAAAATAAGATGTTTAAGTCGTTGCCACTTTGTATTGTCGAAAAAAACAACAAAAACTATACGTATCACATTTTATAATTAAGTATCTCTTAATTAAAGTATCTTAATTAAATTTATTTTAATCAGCTATTTAATATTTAAAAATTTTTGCAAACATAATACATAATTTGATTAAACATAATACATACAATTCTAAGTAATTAATTTCATTTCATCCGATACTAATTTATCGATCAAGATACTTAATTTATGATCTGATAACATAATGATATATTATGAATTAGGAATTTTATTAGATTATACGAATAGAACGATTGTCTTGTATTTTTATATCTGTACGATTACTGTATTTTCCCATTCGCGGAGGATGGTCGGGGACAAACAAATGTGCGGCGATTGAAACAACTAATGAATAAGAATTGTGTCACTTTCATATAGAAGCTGTGAATACGAGAGAAAGTGCGACTCGCGACACGACTGTGCGAGAGAGTATTCGTCCGTAACTTATGCTTAATTTATACGGAAGAGAGATGAACGCAACGATCTTAATTCAGCGAGAAACAGGAAGGAACACCGAGTCAAATCTCTTCGTACTGTTGCGCAAACTTTCAATAGAGACAAGAAATGTTAGTAGCCTAGTCCACTTTTTCTTTAACACTCGTAGATCTTGCTTCGAATTCAATTTTTCAAGTTGTTACAAAAATGAGCCAGGCAATTATTTCGCTTAACCATTATGTCATAAATATGAGCAAAATTACATCAATTTTTTCACAAAATTTCGTTTATAATTCTACTCGTGACTAACTGTTCTTTCATTATTCTCGCAACGTGGCTTTGGCATTATCAATTAAAATATCGCCGATGTGAATATTCTGCGAGGCACGCGTGCCTGCATCATAGAAATATAGTTAACGGTCGTGCGCCGTAAATGGACGAGTGAATGTCATCCTCGTCTCACGATACGCCTGGGAATTCAGTTGCATCCGACGTGGTGGTGCATGACGATGAATAAGCTTCGCCGCGGCTAAGAACGACGAAATCACCCGAAGCGAAATTTCGAACGAATCGCTTTCGACCTTTAATTGCAAGAAAAGAGAAGACTCGCAACATACCGACCAACTAATATACATGACTACCAAGTATTCCTCTGAAATCGTCACTAATCATTACACTTTTAGTTTTCACTCGAAACTTTCAAGTTGTCAAGATGTCTAAAACTGAACAGCCTTCAAAGAGCAAAACTCGCGAATGAGCACTTACAGAAAATCAATGCGTGTATCGAGCTAATTAATATTCGTAGAAAATCATTGACATCATTTATTTTTCGCTGCCACTTTCGATACATAATTTCTCGCGCGTATTAAAACATGACGTCCACGGAAGGCCATACACATTCTGTGTCTTAGTTGAACGCGATTCAAGTGAAAGTAAACATAACTGTTTGCACCGTCTCTATACGCTCCCGACGGCGTCTTTGCACTGGTTCCCGGTTGTAATTGGGATATCTCGTACATTGCGTTATATTACGTGCTTGGTATACTTGACGTACAAGGTGTGTCCGAAACAAGCGTGAGTCCCTGTACAATCTCGCGGTGTGACTACTCGTTTGGAACTTATACTAGAAAAACTTAACACTAGAACATCATTTCAATCTACTAACCATTTACGTCTTATTATTAATTATAGTAATGACTTGTCGAGATCCGTAACTCGATAATCAGGCAAAAATTCTATTGCATTTCCTGATATCTTAGTACCTGAATGTGTCTCGGTGTTAAATTAACCAGCGGTATTGTAAAAGAATTTACAAGATTCGACTCGGTATCGTTCGCCCAACTTGCACTTATTCGATCGCGGCTGCGTTTCCATTCGGGGCCAGTCGAGGGGCGATTGCTAAATGGACATTCCTGAGGAACTGAGCTTGCTTTCTAAGCGGGGCCTGTCACGTGCCGTCGAGACCCCGTTTTACGCGGATATTTCTGATCTGACACGTGCAACGCGCGTCGCCCGCTCGTGACCACGGGATTTGATGTGGTCCACGCGCGTGACAGTGCGCGTGCGAAAGCACGTTCACTGCTCCCGATTCGCTCACCTCGATACACATACCGCCGTAGTCCCGATCTAATCACGTAACCATGATAATGTACCGTGAGATTACCGCGAAGGGCGTAATTATAGAGCGGATAGACTTTCGCAATTTTGTTAACCCTGAACGTAGAATAGTAAATTCTGTCTCCTGCGAAATCTATAATTTTAGGTAATTATAATTTACATGAAAAATATATATCGCAATTTGTTGCATGTTAGATTCTGCCTCTTGAGACTGACAGTTTCAAATACATAGTTTTATTTTGCTTCATGTAACATTCCGTGACTGCAACACTATTCTATTCTACAATTATACGGAACTGCGATTTTATGCGTGCTTTTATACAATTTTATATCGTTGGTGGAGCTCTATAATTCCGTCATCCCTATAACTTTGGATTTATGTAAGGTTTCTTTTTTAAATCGAGAACGAAACCACCAGGCACTTTGTCTCGGCTAATCGTCACGGTAATAAGCGCGATTAGGATTGCAGCCGTTGTGTTTCCAGCGCGATGATCTCGCGCGGGAACGGGAGCGTGCAAGTGCGTACATACACGTGTTACGTGTGCACTTGCGCGCTGGTGGAAAGTAAAATAACTCGCGGAACACCAGCAGAGAGCTTCCGAGTGAAATCGAGCTTCCGCTTCCGACTTGCATTCTGCCTGCTTATCTACCTATCTACGTGGACCTTTGATTCGGATACGTCGTGAGAAAAGAAGAATCTGGGTCGGTTTGGGTCGATCGCGCTGCGCGGCCGCGATCAGGAAGCAATTAAGAAATAACCAGCAATGCTGCCTGCGCCATAAGCGGCAGGAGAATTTCACACACGCTGTTGCTAAATCGCAATTGTGACTCCGGCAATATGCGATACTTGGATCGTTCTTTTTTCTTCTTGCTTCCCCGCAGTTGTATCGGATGATTACGCTTGTCACGCGCAGAATATTCCGTCAATTAAGTAGATTTTATAACTTCAGTTGCAAAGATAGAAACTATCGCACCCTTTAATTAATTTTAAGTACACTTCGCCTCGACGAAAATGCAATATGTAACTGTCGGAACATCATGTAAAATGTAAGTGTATTCAACATCGGACGTTTCACGTTCATGTAATTTCAACAACATTCAGATAATCGAGACAAAAAACATATAAAATGACATAAAATCGCGCGTCCCAAGGATACATATAAGATTTTAAACACTTCTGTCATCCACGAAAATAAACCCGTCCGCCCCGCTTGTGCGAATCCGATGTACCAAAGGATCAGCGTGAAACGCTATCGCGTTGTTCGCACCGGTATAATCTCCTACGTCTCTGCATTCTCCTCCCGTTCTCGCGTCTGTGAACATTACGAGCAATTCTTGATTTCGCAAGCGCGCGCGATCGTTTAATGACGGGACTCAATCCAACACGGTTTTGCGGTAAGCTCGGCAATTTTCGAAGCGGATATCGAGCGAACGAGCGTCTAACTCGACGAGATCTTTGGGAGCAAGAAAATATTACTATCCACAATAATGTTGTGTCGAGAATCCGAATGTTTCCCAGCTTCTAGCGACAAAACGAATTTCATTGTGTTGCGTTTGATGTAATGATGTTATTTATATGTTGACGCCAACTTGTCGTCTTTTTTTCCCCTTTAATAACTCGTGATGCTTTCGACAGCTGCGAGCGACGAGATTAATTGAAAGTGCGCTTCACTTTCACTTTGAGCTGTAACTCGGAGAACGCCGCCGTGTTTCTAACGCGATCCTGGAGACGATCATGAAAAGTAGTTAGTCGACCGAGAAATCAACAGCAACCACGAGCTATGAGGAATAATTTAGCGTGGTCCCGAAAGGGGACCATGGATCTTCGCGAGAAATCCAGCTGGAGAAGGCCGCACGATGCAGGATGTCCCGGAGAAAAATAGTCGTCCTCGAGAGGAATGTGAAAAATCGGCATAACAAGACCAATGAAACGGTCGCGGACGACCGTGATCCTGCCGTCGACAAGGAAGTTAAGGACGGGTTCTTCTCTATTCGGCGCATTTCGAGAATGCAAATAGACAATGAAACTAAATTTTTAAAATTGAGAACTCGCAGGTAACGACTGCGGCCATGACGATCCATGGGACTTTTTTACTCGAAATTGCATTTGCTGTCGGAGCTCAAATTGATATCTTTTTGTTTAATATATTCTGCAGATAGAGAGACTCGCGATATATATATATATATATATCTTCTAGTGATAAAAGAGAATAAAAGAAGGAGAAAAGAAGTAAAAGAAAAATTGCATCTCCAGCTTTTTCCGTGAGATACCCGGAAGAACGGAAGCTGCGTAACGCGAAATCGTTACGTGACGACGATGCTCGGCGATATTTCGAGGGAATGATGACTAGATTAACGATGGAGCAGCGTTTGTTCTTGGGAACGAGCAACAACAATATCTCTTTCCAGACGTCTCGGATTAATCTTTTTCACCGACGCACCGACGGAGGGAAAAAAAGAAGGAAAAGAAGAATAGGAAACAGCAGCGCCGCACGTATGGGAAAATGCTTTCCCGAGGATTCTCAGAGTTCTTTTAACCGCAAGGCTACGACAGCTCGCACTCAGGATCGCGCTTCGTCTAGCTGGAAGGTGCGTGCTTGTGTAGAAGATTGCGCCGCTCTTGCGTCAGACGTGAATGCGTGAATTCGCGTCGAAATTAGCGTTCACGCATTATTTCACGTGCCATTTAATCATGTAAGAGATGTCCAATGAAGAAATCGCCGAGATCAAGATGCAGGAAGATGTAACTATTATTACTCTACGAAATCACGTTCGAATTTTACTCGAAAACCTCGCGTATCTTATGGGAATGTCGAGATCGCATTAAATATTTATTTTGCTCGAAAGCACATGAATATATGCTAATATTTCTCCAATACTATTACTTATGCTAAACGCGTTTGATTTACTATCTGGATTTGAACAGATCGTCCTCGCAGTCATTGACACCCAACGCTGACGTATTTGTGTTCCGAGAAAGGAGAAATAAACGAAAATTCATTAGCATACGTTAGCGAATTGAAAAGTGAGAAGCGAAGTCAGAGAGTGAAGCGAGGATACCGTGTATCGATCAAGTCCTCTCTTCGTTTCCGAACAAAGTCGGAAATTGCACGCTAGAACGGATGACGAGAACGCATCGAGAGCGCGCTGCACTGGTTGCAGTTTCGCGCGCAGAGAGAGAAGAGTGACGTCGTGTCGAAAATGGAACTGAGGAATGCGTGGGCGGTCGCTCTCGGGTCCGGTCGGTGGTCGATGGTCTCGGACTGACCATGATCTTGGCAGATCGACCGGTAAGAAATACCGTTCGCCCCGTGGGTGACCGGTTTTTAGCATATTTCGTGGCTCCCCGAAGGCGCGAGGACCCGCCGAGTGATCATTACGTTTGACCACGAAACGCGCTTGACTCACGGACATGATAAATTAACCGGTGCAATTCCGACTGCCAGATCGCTAATTTGCGTTCGGCGAAAGAAGTATCGCGAGATCCGCATCCGCGACGCTCGATTCTCGAGACTCCACGTGACGAGAGAATCGAATCTGTTAGGGCCGATTTTTCAATAGTTTGAACGTAGATTTAAGTTTGAACTTCGTTAACACATAGAAACACATTAAACATTCTACAATATTCATATAGTTTTAATATTACTTTGTACAACCTCAAATTTGAATCCTGTAGGCCCAAATTAGTTTTAGAATTTGTTTATAGAGCAACAGTTTATTGTGTAGGTCTCTGGTTCAGAATTTCAACTTTAAACAGTCAATACATTTTTCTGAATTTGATGTTTAACTCATCCCTTTTCTTCTTGCTCTTTTCAAGCTTAACATCAAGTGTTATACCTAGGTATTTGTCCTTATTGTACTATTTGCTCATTGATCTTGACTATTACGGGGGTAATCTGTTTCTTTATGTAGAACTTTGACCTACATAATTTATTTATTGTTGAAATAGAGCTTCAGCTTAAATCTAAGTTTAAGTTAATCTAAGTTTAAGCTACTATTGAGAGAGATTGGCTTTGAATGTAACTTAATTTAAATCCGCGAATATCCTCCGTGCACAATTCGGCATCATGAAAAAGGAATTGCACGGGAAAGAGTACTCGAATACCCGACGGAGATTTATGCGCGTTGCAGCACAGCCATTTTTTCATGTCGTTACATTCCGCACGTGTATACATACGGTAGTAGAACAGGGTAAGAAAAAGAGAAAGAGAGATTGTGGGGCCACTCCTTTTCGCCTTCGCGAGTCGAGGAATGACTTATCAGCACGATTACCTCGTACACCTTGAATTCTCGCGGTGATTATTTTCGGCTGCTTCGTCTCGGCCTTTGGCATTTTAATTCGTAGTTTGAACGCATCCACGACATATCAGACAGCATATAGCTCTCGCTTTCTCTCTATCGTTGCGTATTGTCATTACTATTAATAAAGATAACAGACGAATTAGAGAAAAAAAGTGTTCGTTACTATCCTCATGAATAATTTAACTAATCCGATTGGGAATTGATTGATAACAGCTAGAGAATCCTATAATCGTTGAGGTCGGCTCGTAAATCGACAGTTTGCCACGATATTTGCAAACTCCGCGCTTCGCAATAATTCGCCGCGTATCCTATCATTAGAAGCGCACTTTGCGATGTTGTGCTCGTGCCTTTTTTTAATCTCACAATCGGTTTCAGCCCGCAGCCACTCGCCGAGATCTGCCGCGGTGTCGTGAGAGAATACGAGTGAAAGGAGCGAGTTCGGATTCCGCGATGCTGCGTTGTCTTCACACACTGATACTCTTCGATTGCAATTCTGCATCTTCGGGAAAATCGCCAGATTAAAGATGTTTGAGCTCCTGAGCGTTGCAAAGCGTGCGAATTCTCCTAATGAAATTAGAGTAGAATCTGAAGGTACAGCGGGTTGCAAGGAACGATTCAGGCGCAATGAAGTTGAGAGCTCACTAAACTGTGAGTAAAATTGAGAGTCATTACTGTGTGTGTAACACGGATGTTTCCAATAATTGTATTATTAATTATTATTAGTATTATTTCTAATTTATTATTCATTATTATTTTTATACGTTTATTATTACTTCTTGATGTTCTTAATTATACTATTAATTATATTATGATTGAAATGACTCTCAATTTTAACAGCTAGTAAACTCTCAACTTCAGCCAAAATCATTCTGCAATGCACTGTACGTTGACACGAAATTTCGAAGCATTGATGAAATTTTGACAAATCATGACTCCACACTAACGAATCACGCAAATTTGCAAACTTTAAAGCCATAGGCCCCGAGAATCGTCGAATATTCTTGATCGTCACGGTTCCTTTGGCCGATTTCGAAATTGATATTTCCTCCACGCTCCACCGATGGCCCCTGGACAGTCCATGTGGCGATTGGAAGTAGTAACGGCGCGCATTGTAACGGCACACGCGACGCACTGGCGGGAATAGAAAAACCGCCGTCGGCTGCCATTCGATCTGAAATTACGGATTCCGGTCGTGCCTCTTTGAAGGCGGCTTTTGCTATTGTTACTATTGTTTCGGGCTAAACGATTACCGACACCCACCTCGGCGTGTTACGTAATGATTTCATCGGACGCGCGTTACCGTGTGCTCGCGATTGTGTGTTAAAGTTGCGTTTGCCTCACACAGGATGTTTCCCGAGCGAGCTCGCGACTCACAATGCCCATGCCGCTCGAGCAGATAGCGATCGAGCGAAAAGGAAATTTTTGCTTGCGACACTACAGGCGCGACATCGGACCGCTCTTTTTATTCTTTTCGCTCGCGAGAGTAGGGCGAATATTCCAACGACTGAATTAACAAGGAAGCACGATCAGTTTTATATTTTTTATTAATAAATAATTCATGGAATTGCTAAGAAAATTGCTAACGTTCATATCAAACTTTGCTTTGTTAGCGATCAAAAAATAATGGGAAACGAAATAATCAAGAAATATCAATTGAAATTGTAATGAGATATATTAGATAATGCCTCTCTCTCTCTCTCTTTTTTAGAAATAGATTTGTTCTCTTTAGCTGAACTGCCTGAACTAGTATAGATTCGTGCAATAAGTTAGAGTGAAACAAGTATGCTTTCTTCCACTCTGATTTATTACGCTAGTGTGCACCACTTCAGACAGTTCGGCTGAAAAGAACAGACCTTAATATTAAATACAAATATATGGTTAATGTTCCAATCATTGGTTTAATCAGTTAGGACATTTACCTTACAGCGGATTAACAATGTCAGTGTCTTGCGTTAATCGATTGTTTTTTGCGTGAGATAGACCCGGGAATCCGACAAATCGGATGCATTCACTCATCAACGTTATATCTGCATCTGATGGGAAACGCGTCGATCCTTCTATTGTTGGAACAACATCTCTTCATGGAGATGCGAACTATGCGAAACCGAGGACAGTCTCGCGCGTAGGAGTTCGATAATTACGAGTTACACCGTAAACGAACGTGAGCGGGATAATCAACGAGACGTTATCTCTAATGAGACAGTGTCCGTCGTGCATTTTTACATAACCGTTAACTGTTAGACGAGAGAGGAGTAACGGTGCTTTGTAAATTAACGCCATATTCGCGCGCCTCGCGCGTTGACGTAATTCTCCTTTATTTTTTATTCACATCTTTCTTATTTACCTTCGGGATAATTGCGCAATCATTCGAGGCTCATCGCTCGATTCTCACGATCGCGAGAAATGATTATCTCAAATTATATAGCGGATTATCAGTAATCACGCGTAAGTCGCACTGCCATGGGCTACACCCATGGCGGTCAATTCATAACGACCATCACTTCTTTATGTCTTGTTTTGTTGTGCCTTCAGGTTCCGAGATTCATGCGTCTACGTAGGATGAGATCAGACTGAGCGCAATGACGACGAGATACTTTGTGTTTGCCATAACTCTAGCGTGCGGTGAGTGAAGTGACTTCATTTGTGATAAATGTTGATTTTGGAGATTAAGAGAGACTCCCTTCGGCCGGAGGCCCGTTCTGTCCCGTAATCTTTCTTTCCATCGCGTCGTCGTATTTTGTCGAGCACGACGACACGACGTTTCTCAGCCGTTATTACTGACTTTTGCAGATGAAGTACAAGATTTACGGACTTTTTATTTAAGATCTCGGGAGACGGACATAATTGTATCTTATAATTGCAAATGCCCGATGTTTTATACATGATGGGGTTTCTTTTATCTTTTTTTTCTTTTTTTTTAATCGATTGCTCGATAGCATTACTATGCTAATGTAAGACAGGATTCGGCGAGCTCACGACTTCGTGCAGTTGCAGCGTCTGCCGCGCAAGTCTACGAGAGCCAGCCGGAGGACCCAGCTGCACCGGTCGAACTAGCGGCTACGAATAATGACTTCATCACGCAAACCGTGTACGGATTCTTGGACTTCACCACGACCATCGGCAACACGGTGATGGTCTTCAGCCCTCAGAGCGCACCACCAGGTATGATCGTCCTCCAGAGAAACGTTGGCCTGCTTGAGAGAATTTAATTTGGAAGATTACGCTGTCACAAATTCTTACTGACGAATAATTATTCGTCAAAATCGCGCCCGCGGCATTACGCCGTTACGTCGACGTATTGCGCTCTCTTTCAAGATACGCCTACTCGGATTCTCCAACAAATCATTATTCACGTTCGCCTTCGTGATTGAGATTGAGAGTTACGACTGAGACGAGGGATCATACCTCTAAGCGCAATCGTCGACTCGATGCTGTCGACACTCTATGGGTCTGATCTCTCGGAATTACGGATGGGACCTTGAAAGCACTCGCTGAGGACTCGGTACACACACGTGAAGCCTTGACGAGGGGCGTCGAGGAGGCCCAATCTCTTTAGCATATCGCTGCGTTGGCCCGCGTACAGATCATGCTCATTGTTCGCTCGTCATGTCGTCTCCTTGACTTTTGAACCACCCACCCGTTGCGTACACAGCCGTGAACGTTTTCGTTTGCTTCCTCCTTTGTTCCATAAAGATGTAGATCGAGAAAACGCGCGACGAAAGGTATTTATGATCATGGCGCGCAAACTCTGCGTGTAATAGCCAGGAACCTATGTTGTTTAGAATAACGTCATCGTCACCAACATTAGTGTCAACTAATCGTGCAGCTATCGTTCATGAAAATTCATTGCTGTAAGACTAAATAATGGAATGAACGACGCGAACGAAATAAAAGTACACGACACGATTACCAGTCTGATTCAAATATAAGAGGCACGATAAAATTGTGCAATCAGAATGAAATACTTTTACATCTGTTTGAGGCTCTTTTTCTATGAGAAATAAAGTATTCGGCGAGTCCTTGGACACGGGTGTTGGTCCTCGGTACGCTCTTTTTACTCTTGTTCCCACTCCCTCGGCCACGCGATTTTTATTCTCGACAGTCGTCGGGTATGCTAATGCGTCGTATGTTGTGTTGTTCCAGAGGCGGCGGGCACCGGGAAGAAGACCACGTCCACCACGCCGGCGATTCACACGAAGCCACCGACGACGGAGCAGAAAAAGAACGTCCCTGACATCCAACCCAGCAAAACGCACAAACAAGATGTTCAGGACGAGACGAAAAAGCAGGTAAAGGGCACGAAAGTCATCGTGAATTCTGTGATCCAGCAGAACTCGGTGAACCCGTCCGTGAACGCCTCACCGAAGTCTACAAAAAGCCAGGTGAGTCTTCAATTATATCTCTTGAATACTGCACTTTTTTTTTAACTGACAAACATACACACACACACACACATACATACATACATACATATATATATATATATATATATATATATATATATATATTCCCAAATAATACAATATATCAAATATGTACAATATATAATTTTACAAGGTACAATTTTTAATTCTTTCTTAGTAGAATATAATATTATAATTAACTATTTAATAGATTAAAATTTTATGATATAAATTTTCTTAAAATATTGTGAAAAAAATACAGAAGAAAAGTACAGCTTAACGTAATCTTTTTAGGAAGCAACCAAGGAGACGACGACAAAGACACCCGTATTGTCGTCGGTCGTTCAAATACGCGCCAAGGATGAGACTCCGGGTGTGAAGAACAATCTCGCCGAGCCGGAATACGATTTTCTCTCGAAGCAACCAACGGAAGTAATCGACGAAACGTATAAGGTAGGAGAATCGAGGCCGTCGAAGTGACATGTTAACGTTGAAAAAATGGGGGCTAATTTTCAACGCCAGATCTATCGTCGAAAATCCAAGTATCCGGTTTAAGAAAGTGACATTGATCTTCGCTGCGCCCGCGCGGCAACGCCGGCGAGTAAATGAAAATCGGGAATCTGGTTTCTCGGCTCCACTAATTGTCGCCAAACCGGCTCGTCGTTGTCGCTAACGAACGTTTACACGCGTGAAACGTACTGAAACGAGTTTTCTCACGGGATAATGAGAATACCGAATCGCCTTTCATCCGAGGCACCCACAATCGATAAAAAATGGGTCATCTGGTCAGCGAGGAAGCGGGAAGGTCGCGTGAAATTGCGCTTCTCGGTTCTACCGTAAAATTGCGCAATCACTAAGTCTGTACAGCGACTTTCACGATAACTCTCGCGCGAAACTGCCGCAAGCCGCACCGAGGAATTATTCGGCATAATTGCGTCGGCGTAATTTTCCGCGTGCCGTAATCGATTTCCTAGCCGATCCTTCGCAGCGGCAACTCCTTGTCGGCGGTGGCGATCGGCACGTGAAAGTCGATCCGATCGCACGATAAATCGGTTTCACTCGAAGCGTGTCGGACGCGATACTTTTCCAGCGACTTTGCGACCGTAAAATACCGAGGAAATCTCGCATCGTTTAAGATTGTGATCTCAATAATTTATTATGCTATTTATTATAATATATAGAAGGGACACGAGGTTAAATAACTGATTAATTTATACAACGAAATTTTGTTTTATTTTATCTTTACGTGCAATATACGCGTAAAGTAAATGTCCTAGTAATTGAACATGTCCCAATAATTAAAACATAAATAATATATTTATATTTAATATTTCTAAAAAAGCCTTTGAAATTTCGTTAAAAGATATTTCTTTCAACAAAACAGACATTATCTAATATTTCATTAAAATTGTCATTTATTGATATTTATTAATTATTTTATTTCCTATTATATTTATCGATTGCTAATACTAAAGTTTTATATAAATATTAGTTTTGTTAATAATTCCGCATTAATTATTTATTAAGAAAAATATGGAACTGATTGTGTTTTTTTATTAGTTTAATCAGTGGGACATTTATCTTCTTACGTTATTAAAATACGAGTTTGTGTAAACCTTTTTAAAAAATTCCAGGATTATAATCATTTTTCACATATTTTTCTTCATATTTTCTTTTCTCGACAATGTGTAGCTTATCAATCTGCGGCCTTCGTCGAAACCGCACGCGAAACCACGCGCCACACCGCGAAGAGATAAAGAGAACCCGACTGGCCTGGTGACCAAGTTGGGCGGCACTATCGTGAAAGACGGACTTACTACCGTGCATGAGACCAGCGTAATCGGCACTTACATTAATGGCAAATATGCCCAAGTTCTGCAGAGCTCGTCCAGGATCCTGACAACGCCGGCGGCACCAGTCCTTGAGGGAAAAATCCGGCCATCAAATACTCAACGCATCCTCAAGACCATCGGACCTCAGCACGGCAAGCTTAAGCCTCAACTAGAACCTACTCCGACTCATCAGCAACAAGAAGAATCTTCGTTGCCACTCGAAGTGCTCTTCGACACATCCTCCGGTACGTATCTCTCGAATCGAGTACTATCAATCATTTCTCAAGATAAAGAAGAGAGATTCGACTTAAATCACACTGCTGTCAAAAAATATAAAAGTGTAAAGTAGAGGCAAGATACTTCGGGAACTTGAGATTTCTCTAATATAATTAAGCAATAATATCCAGCAATATAGTGAATCTATAATATATAATTGACATTATAATTTAGTACTTACTGAATTAAAGGAAAGTATATATTTCTGAACAATATTTCTCAAGTTTTTGGCAGTAATTTATTATTGAAATTTCATATCAGGCACTCCTATACGAACGACGCGGAGGCATCATTCGGCTGGCAGTCAATCTCGACCCAAGTTCCGAAACAAGATTTCCGAAGACTATGACAACAATGAACCGCAGCAAACAAGAACCGGGAAGAATCGTGCGACGACGGCGCGACCCAATTTCAAGTGAGTGTTTACGAACTAATTAAACTTAAGTTTGCGTTTGATTGTTAAGGTCATTAATCGACTTACGCGAAGAACAAGTATAAAGTGCATCATCTTTTTTCCAGGAATCGCCCCGCTACAACCACCACGGAGGCGCCAGTCACTCGTCGTCGTAGCGGTTTTCGGCCAAGCAGCCAGTCCACCGGTTCGCCTTCAAAACAGGTCACGAAGGCGAAGAACGACCAACAGCCGACGACAACAGCCAGTCTTCCGGTGCCCAAGGTGAAGCTACCTCGGACCCAGGGTCGCTGGTCGTACAAGACCACGCCTAAGCCGAGGATCATGATACGCAAACAAGTAGACGAGGAAGAATTGCGCACGTCATCAACGGAGAGTCCAAGCACAACCGAATCACTCGCGGCGATGTTGGACGATAGTAGAACGACAGCGGCGGCGGCAACCGTCAGCGCTGCATCAACGACCGGCGGTGTCGCCAACGCTCAGAGGAAGGAATTATCTCTGACCGAGGACGAACTGGATCCCAGCGAAAGCGAGGATGTGGCTAGCGTGAGCGTGCAGGATCAGCAGCAGCATTCTGGAGAACAGATTCTGCCTATAGAGACTCTGAACGTAGAGATTTCCACTGCAGCGGACCAGGACAGTATATACTTTGAGATCGCCACCATCAAATCACCCTACGCTTTTCAGGTAAATTAAATTTTAATAATATCTAAGTATTCTTTTATTATATTTATTTTTCTTTAATATCCATAAATTACAATTGAAAAGAGAAAAAAATTAATCTCGAAACCTCTTTTAAATGATTATCTTAAATTTCAAGAAGATATACATAGTATAAGAGTTTAATGTTTAGTAATTTTTAACATTAATTTGAATATTGAACTATTCATTTTCTAAAAATTCAATAAAATATCTTTCTTTTAGGTGGGTACACTACGAAATACTCGCTATATCACGGTGACTTCAACAATCAAGAAGACCTTCGCCACAGCTGAACCGAGCAGTTCAATTTCGCCTACAGAGCCGTTAACGGAGAACATCCTTGCGAATACAGGAGCAGCCTATGAGTCCAGCCTGCCACTGGACTCGTCGGTTGCAACTTTACCGGCCATCTCGTTAGATGCCGGCCAGGCGACGCCGCCGTTAGAGACGCTGACAGAGACGTTCTCAACGACGCAGACGCTGTTGAAGACGCACATGTTGCCAATAATCTACGGCGGCAATAGTACTACCCGACTAACGCTAGTGCAGACGTATAACATCGCGCGTGTGGTGACGGCGATAAAAACATTACCGCCGATGGAAATTTATCAGTTCATTCCCAGCAAAACACTAAACGAGTTCAACTCGAAACTCGACGAGGCCGGTAGTGAGCTGCACCTCGAGCTGGACTTCGGCGAAGATGATCGTGACGACGAAGACGTACCGAAAAGGGTGGTAGTGCCCAACAACGACGCCGATTCCGACTTGGACGTCTTCAGATCGGCGTCGCCGTCGAAGGTGAAGACCGACGTCGTCACCAGCAGCAGTGTTGAGGCTCAACTGACTCCGGAACAGGCCCAGCAATTGGCTCTCTTCAAATACTTTGGTCAGCCACAGCCTCAGGTAATCACCACATCCAGGCCAGTGGTTGTCCTGGAGACGTTGTATGAATCACACGTTATTCCCCTGGTAAACGCGGGCAACACCGTCTTCTCCACTATATCCAGGCCAGTTGGCACTGTGCCCAGGTTGGTATTCTCGCAATACTCAATAATACTCTGCCTATTTATGTTTAAATTTGCAAAAGTCGGAAGAGAAAGAGTCCAACTGCATGCGATATGCAGTTAAATGTGTCGAAACTTTATTCTAACACGTCCTTCTACCCAATTTACTGCAACATTATTTTATTGTGTTTATTTTTCAGGACATCTTACGAGTACGGTACATCTACCCTGAGCCCGGTACTTACACCGCAAGTGCCACAAGTACCGCAAGTGCCCCAGCTACCGTTGTTCCATCAGCAACCACAATTCACAGTGACTAGCGCGCCATTGGTCACTCAAACCCTCGCCACTGTATCCGAATCGAGGGTGTTGAAGCTCACATTCGGTGCCAAGACCGCCTACACCACACTATTCTCCACGAAAGTCGTACCAACTGAGCTCACCACCTACGTTACTACCACCGTGCCGGTGCAACCAACGGTAGCGGCCTATCCCGGCTATTATCCGCCGCCAGTGCCCTATCCGGCTTTCCCCTTCGTTGGTTAGATTTTAATCTAACTATCGAACCCTTCGCAATCCAGTCCGATCACGATCGATTACTAAGTACAAACTCGCTCTTTTGAAGGATAATTTTCAAATGTTACCTTTATTCACGACAATTTTTCTTTGATATTGTTAGTTTTATTGACACCTTTAACATTTAGTCCTATCAAATAGCATTACCAGAGTAAAAGAGATATCTTAAATTAATTATTAATTAAATTAATTATCAAAATATTACATATTTATTATAAAATTTTTAATTTAATATTAAATTTTGTTCATTGCGATAAATTTCACCACATTCGTGTCAAATGAAAGTAGAAATTGGTAATAACACTGCAAACCTACAATATATTGCGTTTTTTTACCTGCAATAATCTCGTGTAATTATAGTTCTGTGTAATTTCACTTTAGTATATTCAACTCCGATTTAGGCCAATGCGTGTTGAGGTAAGTAGAACACGGAGAAATGTAGCCGGTTGTACTAGATGAAAAAAATTACCAAGATACAGACGTATCATATTATTCGATATAGTAAAACGCCAGTGATTATCGTGATTGGACGGGATATCGCGAATTATTGTAAATAAATTATTGACTATAATATTGTATATCGTATATTGTATATGTATATCGCGTATTTTGTAAATAAATAACGAAAAATATTAACCTCCACCGTATTGCAGGCGACGATCCTGCGATAATCCACACATTACTCAATTAAGTAATTGTAAATAAAAATCTAATAATTTAATGGATAGAAATCTCTAATGATGATTTAGAAGAGCTTTCGTGATAATTATTCGTGATTATTATTAAAAACTTATTCATTAGTAATAATTTGATTTATAATATTATATATTAGTTTTATTTATAATCGCTGCCTGTACGTTTGACAGTTTTTTCATCGTGACACTTATTACTACAAATAATATTCTTTTATTTTTTTAACTATTAAATTATAATATATAGATTGCATAAATGGAAATATGTAGAAAGTGCAAGAGTATGAACGGAAGAGTGAACTTAATAGTTGAAGATATAAAATACTATGCTTGGATGAAACACATGAATAATTGACATAAATCGATGTTACAACCAATAGTCTCGCAAGAAGATTATAATTACATAAATAAAATTATTATACAAACGGTTTATTTCTAGGATCAACCGTATTTTTAATCAAGGGATTTATTTTCACAAAAAATGTTTCTATTTCAAAATTAAGAAAATTGTAAAAAATAAAAATTAAGAACGTAAAAATACCGTATATACCGTAGTATATACGTAGCCCGTAGGCTTTTTACGTCAACTTCACAAAGTAAATATAAATTGAGAAATTTATCATTTTCCGGAATATTTTCCATATCTTCTTGCAAAAAGTTTCAATAATCATAATTTATTTTTATTTCTATTCCGTCATAGATGACCTGTTATTCTAACGCTTGAACGTGATGGATTCCTCCTCTTTCTTAATCGCTCGTATAAGCGTCAACGTTAGTACAGCTACAACCACCTGCAATATAGTTAACGTGAGGAAAAAGTAATTAGAGAATAAAACTGCGTTAGATATAATACAATTATATACATGTGAGAAACATTGCATTATAATAGAAATAATGTAGAATCATTTCATTCTTACATGAAGCATGCACAATGCCATTGCCAGACCAGCGAGCCATCCTGACCTCGACTCCAAGAACCAAGATAGTTCCTCGACGCATCCGTGAAAGAAAGCATTTCCGGTAACAGTATCCCGACACTCGGTAGGTAGTGGCTTTCGCATGGACAGATAATCTCTGGGACCGTCAGCTCCACAGCATCCGATCTATCGAAGATATTGCGGTAAATGAATTAAATTCCAAAGTAACCCAGTGCGTTTTTCTTTTTAAAAATAGATCACTGGTTATAGAAAATTTATCTACACTATAAAATAGTTACAATATTTCTCATTAAATTTTTTTTTAATAGAATAACTTATTTTTCTCAAGATAGTTCTGCTTTAATAGATTATTATGCGAATCATTATAATTGGATTATTACAGAACATAATTTATGTTTCCTTACAGCTTCTTGAATTATCCTCAAAATTAGATTCGCCCCTTCGTGATGAGAGTTATTGATGAGATTGATCATGGACCGCCGTATGATAGGTTGAATCTCGCTGTCATATGTCGAGTAGTCGAGAACCACCGCCGCTCCAGAAAGACCGCAAATAAAACATAACACTTGAAGACCCACATCCTAAAATCATCGAGATCTTTGAAGTAAAATCAATCTTCTATGCATTCTTATTGGAAAACATTTCACTTTTTAATCATATTGTCAATATAATCGGAGAATTGATGTCAATATTGCAAGGTAAATATCCTTACGATATATAAACCCAGGATATGTTCCATAAGAGCGGCGGCGCAGCCGACAAAGGCGATAATCATGATGAACACCGATGTGAAGATCAGCACGTAAATTCCAATGTAAAATTCATGCATGTTCAGAAAATCCACCCATTCCTCAAAGTTCGGTTCCATCCGCATCCATATCGACAGTCCAAACATCGCGGCGCCTAGGATCTTTGGCGAAATGGTAAGATTTTTATTTATTACATATTAATTATGAGAGAGCGTTGACGACTCTGTCTCCCAGACAGTTCTTCTAAACTTTGTCCCTCAACTACGATAATATAATAGTGAAATATATTCAAAATTTATTTTAAGAAACTCTCTTTTTAGAGGTCATTTTTTTATACTTTTGCGCATTAGAATTTAATGTGTAATCTAACTAATTTTTTAAGAAATCTCGACTTAGAAAGAATTAATTTAATAAATTTTTTTATACGTATCTAACAATTATTTACGTTAAAGCAATTATATATCATCTATATCACACATTTCTCTCGTTTATTCATTTTTTACAACTTCATACACATATTTTTTTCAATTTATTTGAGACATAGCATATACTATTATTTCACTATCACAGTTGATTTCACCAGACAACGCAATCGCGATAAACCTTCGCACCCACCCATATTATGGCGTTCAAGCAGAAAAGTATAAATTTTATGTTGCTGATATGCTTTTCCAGCGGCGGTCCAGAAACTTTGGCGACCATCTTTGCGTTCTGCCGAAAATTTCTTTACGGAGTCACGTTCCACCGGCGAACGAAATGCACAAATTTCGGACGCGACAATACCGTGAAGGAAGCGTAATTCACCGATCAGATACGTGGGCAGGTACCCGAAGTATGATCGCCTACATTCTCGTCGTTTTATCACCGGTAAATATAAGATAAGTGGATAAGTACGTTCCAGATAAAGAACACGCATCGCTGAGATGAATCATTTCTTTCATGATATCAGGGTGTGTTTGAAAACTACAGTTATTAGAGCCTCCGCACAAGAACATCCGTAACACGTTAAGTTTACAGATTTCTTTGTGCGTTGACTTAAGTTTAATTTTATGTACAGGTATGGCCATTGCATTGTCAGTACTTAACGTAACGTAACATGTTACGGATGTGCCTGTGCATTGGTTCTTAATCTGTATTAATCTAACAAGCTTTTAATTTACGCCATGTGATAATTAACATCCTCCTTAAGAAGCGCAACATTACAGACGTGAATGAGACAGATCAATCATTAATAGTGAAATACAATTTATCTTCTTAATTTATTTCTTCTTAATTTATTTATTTATGTTAATTTACAATTAATTAATGTAATTTGATTGTTAGTGCAAAAAGAGAACACGGAATATCTTACAAATTTGTTTAATAACTTGTTTAATAATTTGTTTAACTCTTTGAATTCACTTCAATTGAGATTTTATTTTTGCAGATTATTATGAGCCGGAACAGCTTCATCGCTGTCCCGATTTTCAAAAATTATGAAAAGGATTTGTATAGTCTTATACATTGCTTTCTCCTTCTTATCATAGTAGGGAATAAATTTGGATTGTAAGAAAAATAAAACAAACGCGTGCAACGTAGCGGTAAACAGTTTAACTAGTCTATTAACTTAATATTTCTAAGAGACTTTAGTGGGTACTCAGGAGAACTTCTCTTTCAATTTCTCTATGAAAATGTAGTAGAAAGTTTAATTAAAATTAAAGGATAATGTAAGATTAAATTATCCTTGTTTTGCATTTAAGTCAAGATTACTTCATAAATTAGGCTTCAAATACAAACTGATTATAAATATATTGCATTCGATTTTTCAGTGGATTGTAAGTTGGCTTAAAAATTGTATATATTCGTCTGTTTTGATCATTTGATACGAATTTAGATATTTCACTATTTTTCTACTTAAATTGCAGCTTTACACTAGAATTACAGGATCTAATTTATTAACTCACATTTTATTGATTGATCCTTCAATTTTAATTAATTATAAATAATATGGCTTTCTTAAGACACTTTTAAAACATAATTCTTAAATAATTAACAATGTATTGAATATTATAGTTTTTCATTACATTTTCGATGAAAACATATCAATTTCAGGCAAATCTGATATTCTCATAGACGTAAATTTCAGTAAAAACTGATATCATTCTCATAGACGCAATTTTATAGTAAATCTGGTGTCATATCGAATATATTTTATTTTGCGTTTACAAAATCTTCAATTATAAAAAATATATGACGAATTGATTGAAACCGTAGTTTAATGTATACACCACATAATAAGTGAAAAAGAAACTTTATATTAATAGAAATCTTCTTCCATGGCTTTTGACGTCGATGTTTTATTCTTGATCTGTTCTTGATTATTGTACATATTTGCTACTTGCTGAGCGGATGTAGCATTCTCGCAACTCTTGTCCTCGCGAATCCTGATAAATCGCGGAAACCTTAAGGATATCCCCTTTTCCGGATCAACCTGCACAATACAAGGATAAAACACGTGTAACAATTATAACATTTTATAATTTAAGAAATTATAATTTTAAGGAATATATATATTCACTAAAATTGAAAAAAGTGAAAGGATTACTTATAGATATTTTATCATATTATTTCTATTTGCAATAATATCGCAATTCGAAATATTGCAACAATGTTTTCGTGAATTCTTACGCATCAATAAAGAAGAATTTCTTAAGTTGAGAACATATTATAAAGAACTGCTTATTATAAAAACTTATCAGAAATGTGTAATTCTTTCTTGGTACAATTTATTTAGCTACACTAAGTTACGTCTTTATACGTATTTTTATCGTATCAAATAATCCGAACAGATGAATACATAAAATTTTTAAACCAACATAACCAACACTGGAAAAGCTAATGCAATATATTTATAATCAGTTCGTATTTTTGAAGCCTAATTTATGAAGAGTAATCTTGACTTAAATGCAAAATATACGATACTTTAATCTTACATTAATCTTACATTATCCTTTAATTTTAATTAAATTCTCTACTACATATTCATAGGAAAATTGAAAGAGTTCTCCTGAGTATCCAATAAAGTCTCTTGGAAATATTAAGTTAACAGACTAGTTAAACTATTGACCACTACGTTGCGCGCAATTGTTTTGTTTTACTCGCAGTCCAAATTTATTTCCTACTATGATAAGAAGGAGAAAGCGACGTGTAGGACTATACTTTTGTTCATAATTTTTGGAAGTCGGGACAACGATGAAGCTGTTCCGGCTTATAATAATTTGCAAAAATAAAATTTCAACAGAAGTAAATTCAAAGAGTTTAAGGCTCTTGGCTCTTCGCATTCTCTATCTTTTTTTAATTACGTCAAACGCGAGAAAAAACATGCTAAAAATTCTTGCGAAATACACTGAAATAAAAAGATATATCCATAAAGTGACACTTGCAATCAATTAAAAAAATCTGTGAAATATTCTCTGCATTCCTTTTTTGCTTTAATAATTAATAATTTGTCATAAATTAACGTGACATACAATTCATCTTCTTAATATATTTCTTCACTTAAGAAGAAGAAAGCAATGTATAGGACTACACTTGTTTCTCGATATAATTTTTTGAAGTCGGGACAACGATAAAGTTGTCCCGGCTCATAATAATCTGCAAAAATAAAACGTATTTTTTTATTTTTAGTTATTTAATAATTGCTACTTACTATTCCAATAGCCGCACGGTGAACTGGCGAAAGAGAGAGATCGGCACACTTAATCTCCCAGACTTGGATCGGCTCGAACCAGTGATCCGGTTCGTGGCTACTATCGAAACGGTAATATGATTTAGCCTGAGATATCACATGGTCCTTAAAAAATTTCGTGTGGTTTTCAAGATCCTCCTCCTTGAAGCCGGTGCCGATCTATCGCCAATATAGCATCGGGTGTCAATACGTGTAAGTGAGAAAATACAATGTTCACAAAGTATATTTCTACAAGTTTTTATACTTAAAATTTTTGCTTGATAAACTATTTGAAGAATTAAATTCTTATTTAATTTAATAATTTACCTTACAGACACTCTGATACTCCTCGTTCTCCTGATCGTAGCAAGCCAAGAGAAAACCACCATAGGTACCGGTTCTTTTTCCCTTACCGATGTAACCACCTATCACAACAACGTCGAGTGTATCACCAACGCCGTCCAAGTAATCCTTCTTTAGCTTCAACCAATTTCTCGATCGCTTTGCAATCTCGTAAGTTGCCTCCTCCTCTAATGTTTTCACCATCAGGCCTTCGCAATTTCCTGTTTATGACCGATATTTCTTTTGTAATTAAAAGCATAAATTAGAATATAAGAACGATCTAAGAAATACAATTTTTGCTCCTCGATAAAAATTAAGAAATAAAATTTTAATTTTTTAATTCTGATTAAGAGATTTAACATTTTATTTTTAAATTACAATATTAAAATCGCAAATAACTGTAAGTAGGTAATGATTTCAATTAACTTCTTTGGAGCTATACTGGAAATTTTTATTCATTTTATGGACATCTTTTGTTTTTGCAAAATTCTTTTTCTATGTCATAGATTCTAAAATGCGAGAAAATTGCGAGAACCTTTCACTGATTCATCCAAGAAAACTTGCACTTCCTCCATCGTCGAAGTGTCCAGACTGTTGGCAAATTTCCATTCGCCTTCCACTTCTTTGAAGTGTTTCTTCAGCAATTCACGCCGTTTTGCGAACGGTTCTTTCACCAATGGCTCGTCGTTTAAGTACAGCAAATCGAACATGAACACACATACCTGCACTTTGATATCTTCCTCACTAGCATCCTATTAAGTATATTTTAAGATACTTCAATATATATATATTTTTTTTTTTGAAAATATATATTTATATTATAAAATTTATATTATTAAGATATTTCGGTAATTATAATTGTAGAAACAATAGGCAATTACAGCAATTAGAATCATAGTAATGACTGAGTTGAAATTTGAATTAAGAGATTTAAATTATATGAGATCACGGCTTCTCTTATCACGGTTTCTCATAATTATTTTATTATTCACCTTTCGCTTTCTCGTGCTGAGTACTTGGAACGGCAAAATCTGCTTCTTCTCCTTATCCCAGGCAACCGCCTCGCAATCGAGTATGCAATTTTTCACCAATTCGTCGCGAGTATTCTTGAATCGATTTATGATATCCGGATACTTACTAGTATTGTTCTCTTGGTTTCTGCTGTAAATATTGATCTGACCGTTGTCTGCAACATGTATCTGCCGAATTTTGATACTCTCTCTTTAATATATTAATTTTCATTTAATATTCTAATCGCGCACACACACAAATAAAAATAATACTTAAATTTAATTAAATATAAAGTTTATAAATAGTAAAAGTACAAAAAATGTAAGAACCTGTGCTCTTTCTCCATCATATTTCCACTCGCACGTAAACTTCAGACCTTCGAATCGCGTTAGCACTTCTTGAATGCCTTTAGTAGGATGCGCCAGCATAGGTTTCAAAGGTATTCCAGGCGTAAGTTTACATTTATTTGGTAAAATTTTAACTCCATCCTCCAATAAAACAGGAATTATGAGATTGTAATTTGGGCATTCGCTGAAATATTAATATTAATTAAGTTTACAGAAAAAATATTTCATTTGAAATATTTATATTCACTTTAACCGACTTACACATTTAAACAAGTTTTATAAAATGAAATATTTCCTGCTTAAATTTGTATAATGATTAAATAGCCCTCTAGTATTTAATTTATAAATAACGTCTTTAAGACTATCTTACCAATATGTTGTCTTTAGTATGAGTGCTATCTCATCGTATTTTTCTTTGAACCGTTCACTCGACATCTGTTTGCTCACATTTATTATTTCAGGTGGGTAGGCTTGTTCTGGCGGTGTCATCGCACAAGCCAAGGCTAACGCCTGAGAAGAAGCAGATTTTTAATATTGATCGAAACAATATATAACGCAGGTGACTTACTTGTAAAACAGATTGCTCTGCCAAACCAATGCGAAGCTTTCCAGCCAATGATCTGATCAGATATCTCGCTTCAGTATTACGACAGGCCACAAACAATGACTGAATTTTCTCCAGCTTTTTCGTCAGAGACTACAGAGAAAAAAAAGAATATTCAAGGAAAATGCAAAGATTTTTCTAATTCTTATTTCTATATTTTAATTATCATGTTCCAGTTTAACAAATTATATATTTCTGCCAATAACAAAAACTTCTAATTACAGCAAAGTTTGATTACCGAGTGCCCTGTCATTTGAGCTATCTCTTTTAACTTGGCATACACATCGGGAACCGTCAACAATGCCAGCGGAAACATAGTTCTTTGATTTGACCTGCTACCTTCCGCCACGATTCCCAAATCGCCGATCTGCTGCACATGGGCTTTAATCTGGGCAACCGATCTACCAGTAGATTGCGCTATCATTTTCATCAGATTCGTGTCAGCAACTCCCAGTTCAATACCTATGACGCAGCAAAAACCATGTATCTACGCATGTATTATACGCAGTATAAGTAGTAAGTAAAAGTCCAAATAATAAAAATTACTTAATTGAAAAATATAATGCTAAAAACAAGTTTTATCTAAAATTATACTTTCTCTCTGAAAACATATATAATGTTACATACAATTTCACAATATTATTGTATATTCACCTTCGTACGCTGGCGCTAGTTGATTAAGGCACAAATATACGCTCGGTAAAAGATTCTCCGGACTTAAAACTATAACGGACCGAAAGTAATTCGACAATATTTCTATTATCTTTAGTCGTGCGCTTGTTTCCTCGATAAGCTCCAAAGTGCGTGTAAATGCGCTATACGGAGTTCTACGAACAAATTTGTAAGCATTTTATTCCTAAAATTGCAAAATTTTGCAGATTTTCGATTATATATATTTTTAAATCATTTTCGATAATTAATTTTAGTTAACTCACTTATCTCCTCGTTTCCAACACGCATCGTTTATCGGATGATAACTAGACTTTATAGGATTGTAAGACTGCTTGATGCTTTCCCCGTTGCTTGTTTTGTTATCTTTTGCATCTTCCTTTTGGTTAGCTGTAAAAGTAAAAAAATAACGTCAGCTTTTTATAATTGTATCAAATAAATATACATCTTGTAAATTAATTTATGTACATACACAGAGAGATACATACTACATTCAGATAAATGTTACTTGTTTTAAGTATTTCATAAGTTTATATATTCACAAATTTAATATAAGCTTATCATAAGCATAAAATTTGTTCAAAATACATCCTGAATCTTAGTAGAGATTTAGTATTTTTAGTAATCCAGAATATTAAATTAAAAATTCAGTTTGTTTACTATATAGAGTCAAATCAACTGTTCCTTGTATAAAATATTGTTATAAAAAGAATTCTGTGTAGTAATTATTGAAATACTGCAAATAATAGTTTTCTGGAGAAACTTACTAGGTAAAACAGGTTTTTCTTTTTCCTCTTTGTCTTCAGCAGTATCATTTTCAATATGAGTATTTTTATCAGTTTTGGCTCCATTTACTTTTTCATTTTCATCCTCCTTTTTTTTCTTACTGCCAGATGTATCTTTCAATTTTTTCCCCTTTGTTTTTTTTGGTTTTCCAGGTGAAATTTTACTTGTTTTGTTTTCTGGAGTGAGTCCTTGAAACATAATTATGAGTATATTGCACATCTAGTACACACATATGAAACTAATGATTCAGCTATATAATTACCTGGTTTTGCACGAGACTTTGTAGATGGAGAAGGGGTTTTGGAAGCTGTTTTTGGCTCTGTAAGTTTTGCACTTGGTTTCTTTGAAGGAGGAGAGCTAAAAGAATAACAGTTTGTAAAAAAATAATATTAATGGAAAGAAATAAAAGGTAATACAAATTAATATAAAATAAATACCCTTACAATAAAAATCTTGTAAAATAAATAATAAATATACTAAAAATAATAAATAACTTTGATTAGGTATTAATTACCTGGGAGATCTGCCGTTGCTATCCCTCTTGCGCTTGCTACTTGCTGATGCATCCTTATCCTCCTGTTTGTCGGACAAGCTGCTGGTGGTTGCATGTATCCGATTAAAAATGACAAAGAATTGGTTGCGAGATGCAACCGCAAGCTCGAGATGTCGAGCTGGTAGAAGCAACGAGTTCCAACGTGAACGAATCACGAGAGCTCTTAGCATAATCAATTACTAGAGAAAGAGTGATACTATTATACTTAACGGCATAAAACATACCTTTCAGAAGTCACCTGAGACGAGTTTTCCTTCTTAGACGGTATTCTAGTGAAGAAGGAACTGAGAAAATAGAGCAAAATTAATGTCATTCCAAAGAAAAATTTTCGTAGTATACTGTTTAATATATATATGGTATCAGTGTTTAAATTACGTGAAGTTATTGAAATTATTAACGATTTGCTGTCGAGAGATATTAGCTGAGCTGTTCGTCTTTTTCAGTTAATTACACCACTGAATTACTCACTCTATACTGCGCTGCGCCATTTCTCACGGATTCTACACGCGTTCGAGAGATTTCCCGCGCCTTGTGGCGCGCCTTTGATGATGAACAACACAGTAAGAGCTGTCACAACGAAGCATAACCATCGACGAGATAACAGTAGACTGCAAGTCCTATGAAATTTTTGGTACACTGTACGCTAGCACCCTCTCAAAGTACGTGGAGTTAAAACTCGTCTACAATAGAAGTCGTAGAGTCATAGTCATAAGTCGTAGAAATTGACCAATCATAGTTGGGCTCGAGAAGAATATTCGACTGTGATTGGTCAATTTCTACGAGTCTTTACGACTCTACGCTTCTATTGTAAACGAGCCTTTACCTGCTCTTCAGAAATATTTTGAGACTGATATTCATTGGCTCATATTCTGAATCCTCTTTTATCTATAAAAATGCTTCTAAAAGAGGCTTAGGAGCCACCTAATTGGCTGAGAAGCTATATTCAAGGCACTTTTATCGATAAAAGAGGATTCAGAATATAGGCCATAGTCGTGTCTTACTTAAGCCTTCTTAAGTTTATCTTCAGATAATGTATGAATTATTTCATTGGCTACGGAATATCTGAAGATGACTTAAGCAGCCTTAAGCTCGTCTACAATAAAAGTCGTAGAGTCGTAAAGAGTGGTAAGTATTTGTATGTACTTGACTGGAAAAAAACTCCGGTTAGAAAACTACTCTTTTAAATCGTTTGTATTTTGTATGAAGAGTTTTGAAGTTATAAATTTCAAGTCGATTCACTAAACCGTTGAAGAGTAATTATTATGTTAATTTTACGTGTTCTTATGGCAAAAGCAACTTTCCTGAATACTATTCACATTTGTGAATTCATGAACCAAAATCCATATTCAAAACAATAAAAAACGATAATTTTATTCTGTCAATTTTTGTACTAGAGTTAAGAATACGCACATTCCAAGGTCAAATTAAAAATTACTATTTCTTTTCCTGCTTAAAATCCTACAACTTTTGTTCGAACCATTTCTTTGCGTTACACTTTGGCTAAAAAATAGGGTGTATATCAGTTGGACACGGGGCAATTAGACACAGTCCAATCACAAGTCGCTGTTCCAAGGGACCCTACAAATGTCTCTAATCACACGGTGCTGTGATTGGCTGTGTCCAAATGTATCGTGTCCAAGTGCACCGCTCCCTAAAAAATATACGTGGCGACTAAAAAAGATTTCTCTATATACGCCTACATTTCTTATCTTAAGATAATTTTAAGATAAGAAATGTATGCGTAAAGAAGTCTATTTTTTAGCCAAAGTACAGTCTATTTTTTAACGCAAAGAAATGGTTCGAACAAAAGTTGTAGGATTTTAAGTAGGAAAAGAAATAGTAATTTTTAATTTGACTTTGGAATGTGCGTATTCTTAACCCTAGTACAAAAATTGACAGAATAAAATTATCGTTTTTTATCGCCCAATGAAAAATTTTTCATATTTAATTATATAAAATTATATATTAGGTGCGCAACTAAGTTCTCGCTGTTTTTTTTATGAAAATGCAACTTTATTGTGAAAAAATGGTTACAAATGAATCATTCAAAGTATTGCCCATCGCTAACTACAACTTTTTCCCATCTTTCTGGCAGAGCTCGAATACCGTTACGATAAAAGTGTTCGTCTTGTGAGGCTATCCACGAATCAAGCCATTTTTTGATGTCTTCATATGAGCGGAACTGCTGATCAGCCAGACCATGTGCCATCGAACGGAACAAGTAATAATCGGACGACGCAATATCTGGGGAATATGGCGGGTGGGACTTCCCATTTGAGCGTTTCCAAGTAGGTTTTAACGTGTTTGGCAACATGAGGCCGAGCGTTGTCATGCAGTAGAATCACTTTTTCGTGCCTCTGCTCGTATTGTGGCCGTTTTTCGCGCAGTGCTCGACTCAATCGCATCAATTGAATTCGATACCGTTCCCCAGTGACGGTTTCGTTCGGTTTCAACAGCTCATAATAAATAACACCGACCTGGTCTCACCAAATACACAGCATAACCTTCGCAGCGTGAATATTCGGCCGAGCCGACGACGTAGAAGCATGACCGGGCAGTCCCTATGACTTCCTTTTCTTTGGGTTGCTGTAATGAATCCATTTTTCATCACCCATCACGATGCGATGAAGAAAACCCTTCCTTTTTTGCCGCTGGAGCAGTTGTTCACAGGCGAAAAAACGACGCTCAACGTCCCTTGGCTTCAAATCATAAGGAACCCAAGTTCCTTGCTTTTGAATCATTCCCAACGCATGCAATCGCTTGGAAATGGCTTGGCGGGTAACTCCTAATGCTGAAGCAAGCTGTTCTTGCGTTTGGCACGGATCCTCATCGAGCAATGCCTCCAATTCAGCGTCTTCGAAGGTTTTTGGCCTTCCTTCACGCGGACGGTCGTCAACATCGAAATCACCGTCTTTGAAGCGACGAAACCAATCACGGCACGTTGTTTCACTTAGAGCAGCATCTCCGTAAACTTTTTGGAGCTCTCGATGCGCTTCAGCCGCCATTTTCCTCGAATGAAATAAGAAAATCAAATCATTCCCGCAAATAACGATTATTTGGCACAAAATCAGACATTTTCACACAACCAAAAGTATATGACGCCAAAACAAAATCACTAACGTGTCAAAGCGGTTTGTTTACCATATGTCTAAGCTTGGTTCATGACGTTTTGGATATGTCAAAATCGACCAGCACTTACTGGAGCCATCTATTGACAAACAGCGGGAACTTAGTTGTGCACCTAATATAATTATATATAATTATATATAATTATGTATCAAATTTGTCCATTCATGTTCATACATTCTACTTATATATATAATTATATATAATTATATATAATTATGTATCAAATTTGTCCATTCATGTTCATACATTCTACTTATATATATAATTATATATAATTATATATAATTATGTATCAAATTTGTCCATTCATGTTCATACATTCTACTTATATATATAATTATATATAATTATATATAATTATGTATCAAATTTGTCCATTCATGTTCATACATTCTACTTATATATATAATTATATATAATTATATATAATTATGTATCAAATTTGTCCATTCATGTTCATACATTCTACTTATATATATAATTATATATAATTATATATAATTATGTATCAAATTTGTCCATTCATGTTCATACATTCTACTTATATATATAATTATATATAATTATATATAATTATGTATCAAATTTGTCCATTCATGTTCATACATTCTACTTATATATATAATTATATATAATTATATATAATTATGTATCAAATTTGTCCATTCATGTTCATACATTCTACTTATATATATAATTATATATAATTATATATAATTATGTATAATTATATATATAAATTCATATATAATTTTACAGAATTACGCATAAATTTATATGTAATTATACATATTGTTATATACATAATTGTGTATAATTATATATAATTTTATATGATTATATATAATTATACATAATTATGTATGGACAAATTTCATACAAAATTTTGCATGAAAAATTTTTTATCAGGCGTTTTAAATATGGATTATTTATTTTTGACTCAGAATCTGCACAAGAGTTTCATTACCTAGATTAATGTGTTGATATAAGAAACAGTATTAATTATAATTAATACTGTTTCTTATATCAACACATTAATCTAGGTAATGAAACTCTTGTGCAGATTCTGAGTCAAAAATAAATGTTTGATGCCTGAAAAGCTATAAATCTTATATAGAATTTATTTTATCTAACGATATGGAACTGCCACCAGAAATTTGGCAGAGCTTGCTGACATGCTGTCAGCAAATTGATGCTTAACATTCCTTAATTTAACCTAATCAGTAAATTGATGGCAAAAACCAAATAGACTTTGTAGCAGTCTGATAACAGATTGGCAGCAAAAACCGAGTAGCGAATTTGGCAGCAGGACTTGTTCGGTTATTCTGTTAATCTGTCAAATTATGCTAGCAGATCCTGCCGCCAGAATGTGAATTTAATGCGGACATAAATAGACAGCATATCTAAAATCGGGACATAAGATCATAAGATCATAAGATCATAAGATCATAAGATCATCTTTAAGATGTCTTTCAGACGATTTACGTATAAATATCTTTAAAACGTTTTATGTTCCGATTTTAGACTATGGGTGCTTCCGAAATGTCCAGGTTTGAGTCGAGTTAATTCCACACACACACACATTATAGTATCTGTTACATATACTATAGTGGAACTAACTCAACTCGATCCAACTCTGGGTATTTCGGAATTATGTTATCTCATTATGTTATCTGGGTTCTGTCTTGTAGTGGGATTCTGATCGAATTTATTGCCTATCTGCCCTCCCCAACATACTGCTAATATTTTATTATGTTAATTGTTGTAGTTTGGACTGTACTTTTGGTACAGTCTGTATTACATTCGATATAGTATTATATTCGGTTCCAAACTATCTATTACGTAATACTTTGATAAATATAACTTTGATAAATATAAAAAAGAGATAACAGCGATAGCTTCTTTGCTTTATATGTCCAATAAATAAACGGTACTTCAGCAGTTCACATTCGAATTCGTAACATTCAAGAAACACATATATACGAAGTACCGTTATTGGTGAAAATGTCTTTCAATGACGTAGAAATCAAAGTGTTGGATGATGAGAAGACGGCCGAAATATTAAAGTATTATCCATTTTATACGCGTGGTTTGATTACAATAGGTAAAAAAAAATGGTGTATGGCATCCAGCTATCTCTACATCGGCGAAGAAGTGTACAACTTTGAACCTCATCCGGACGATACTTGCATCGTCACTTATCCCAGATCAGGTAGACAGTCTTCGTTATATAATGGAAATGTCGCACCTAGTCGTCCTAATTATTTTCGTGTTATCTTTCTTATTTCCAGCAAAGTCTAATCTTCCATTTCTCGATTAATTTCTTATTATTATTATTTTAAATTTTATTATTATTATAAATTTCAAGGTACAACGTTAACACAGGAACTCGTTTGGTTGGTGGCAAACGACATGAATTTTGAAGAAGCGCGTAGCAAGCATCTATTGGACAGATTTCCTTTTCTAGAGTATAGCACCAACATTCGTATAATGCTCATGCGTGCAGAAACGAAACTCACGAAATTTATTTCACTCGGAAATTTATTTAACAAATTCATGATGGAGAACATCTCTCTCGCGCGCAATTTAGAAAAAAAACGGGTGAATTTTTCTCCTTAATAACTTCATTAGATAAGAAATTTCGTTAACGCAAAATCTATTTTTCGTTTCTACACTCAGACGAGATTTATCGTTACTCTTTGAGTTGGAGAGAAATACTTCATTGTAAGAGTTTTCTTTCTAGCACCACTGGAATAATAGAACCTGAACTGTTTGCGGGAAAAGCCGTTGACGAAGAAAATCGGTTAGAGAACAGCGTGAAATTCGTAGAAAAACAACCTTCCCCACGTTTCATCAAGACTCACGTAGCGCTTGACCTATTACCCAAGATCGTAAACAGCGATTGTAAGGTATGTCTATACGATGGCTGCATATTTTCAAGAATAAATACAGATTTCGGAATCTCGGATGAAAATATCGAAAAACGTCGAAAGCGATGAACATTCACGATATGTATGCTTAAACGGTTATTCTTTCATGCAGATTATCTATGTTGCGCGAAATCCCAAAGACACTGTTGTCTCCTGGTACTATTTCCAAAAAGAAATTGAAGTGATAAAGTACAAAGGCAATTTTGAGCAATTCTGCGATGTATTCATGAGCGACCGCAGTGAGTAGCTTCATTTCGCATCGATTAATATTTCGCGACTTATTTTTCTTTATTAACTAATCATTCACACATGTAATTATTCATTAACTTCTTCTACGATATTAGCGATATATTGCCCGTACTGGGAACACGTGAAGGAAGGTTGGGAAAAACGACACAGACCAAACACATTGTTCATCTTCTATGAGGATTTGGTAAAGGTAAATCTTGAAATGTTCGTTATTACAATTTTTACAGCGTTTATTTCCTCTTTCTCTTTTTTATAAAAACTTAACACGTAATATTACTTTTAGAAAAAAAAGAAAGAGAGAGAAGTGAAGGAGAAAAAAGAGAGAAAGAAGGAAAGAAAATAAATTAATAATTAATTTGAGCGTTGTTAGCATTATGAGCAATATATTATCAATATTATTAATAATAAAGATATAACAAGTCTTAAAAATTCCTTGGAAATAACACTTTCGTTTACTTGGTGCAGGATTTACCCGGAAACATTCGAAAGATTGCCACCTTCTACGGGAAAAGTTACAGTGAAGAGCAAATCGCTAAGTTGGTAGACCATTTGAGCATAAAAAAGTTTCGTGAAAATAAAATGGTGAATGTTCCATCAACTGGCGCACATATGAATAACAATATATTCATTCGGCGAGGCATTGTGGGTGATTGGAAAGCACACTTTACACCAGAAATCGAGACAAAATTCAACAAGTGGATCGCTGATAACACGAAAGATACAGATCTTATATTCCCCTGTTAGATTTATACGTCATAAGGTTGTTGCAACATAAGAAGAGTTTTTTAAGAATTAGTTGAAATTTGCACTATATATAGATTTAAGTATGACCTAATTATTGTAACATAATTATAACCAGATTGACCACTTAAAAACTATGATATTTACAATGAAAGTTGACATTTTTAGTACGTGTTCCCTATATCAGATTGAAGACATCACATTCTCAATTTCAATTGTCAAACTACATTCAAAATTTTAATAAAAAAATTATAATATTAAATACTGATATATAGATATTATACACAAATTTTAATTATATTTAATATTTTTATTATTTTTATTTTATTTTATTTTATTCAGTAGTATTTACTATGCAATATTTTGTTTTCAAATTACTGTGGTGAAAGATTTATAATTTATGATATTCTAAATACACATATACACATATTTAAATATTATGTATCTTCTTTTATTATCTGTAAATCCTTACTAAATAAACTGACTTATAAATAAAGCATTTTATTAAAAATAAAAAAATAATAGCTTTTTCTCTTATTTGTAATATTATGTATATATATTTATCTAAATTTTGTTTCAAATAATGATATTTAGTTAGTTAAATAAATATTTATAAACGTAATTTAAAAAAATAGTAGATTTATGAGTAGTCCCCTTGATAATAGAGTATTGATAATAGAGATAATAGACCACTGAAAATAGAGTATGTAGTGATATAACTATCTTAACAGAATTATGTAAGCAATTAAAGTTGGTCAGTGGGAAAGTAACTTTGAACTTGCAAATGTTTTTCAACGTCTTCATTTACTCGAATCTTTCGCGTTCGATCTGATATTATTTACAAAATACTTAAAAACACAGGAGCAGGTTACTTAACTTAAGGTAAATTAAAACAAACGCGAGTTATTTTGCAGATTGCACGTTTATCTTCAACTTTACCAACGTTCGAAAGGCATGCTGCAATTCCTGCTCAGCTATAACTGCAATGTTCTTAAGTCGTTCTGTGTGTTTTACCACCATACCACAGATGCGCTTGTTGGGACATATGATAGATACCAAGACACTGATGCTGTCGTCTGGACCAGGATCAAAATGTTCCAACTTCACTTGCATGTTGTACGGCAACTCCTGCGGAAGATTGTCCAGCAGCTTTGCCCGCACTGTCTGTTGTATTATCTCCTCGCATGTCTGATTGCTGTACATATGTCCCTCGTAACACCATCCTTGTGATTTGGCTGAATCCAACAAGTAGGTCTGTAAGATAGAATATAAAAAAGAAGGAAATTTATTTCTTTTTTGCATATACAGTGTGTCCCAAAAGTCCTGCAATCCCTAAATATTTTGAAAAATACGCATTTTCGAAAAAAATGCTTAACACAAAAGTTGTAGAGTCTAAAAAAATGTATTTACTGATATTGACTGTACTGAAATGTATTTACTGTTATGTATTAATTTTATCAGTTTGACCTTGGGTGGCGCCGCCCAAGTCAGGTCGAGGTCAACTTTACTTTTTTGCATAGAAACATGTATTTTTTTTATTACGGAATTTTATTTTATGTAAAAAAGTAATCAACTTTTATTTGAAAACAATTTTTATATCACCTCTATTTTTTTAAATATTTACGGAAATATCTACAAAATTATTGGTTTCAATAATTTTTTACTCGAATTCTATTAACTTTACCGAAAAATAGCAAGAGATAAAAATTGTTTATTTTCTTCTCATAGAGCTCCGAAAAATTTTTCAGAATTTCATATAAACTTTTTAGTACTAAAAGAAAATACAAAAATGTAGTACTAAAAAGTTAATTAAAAAATTAAAAAAAAAATTCTCAGAGCTCTATGAGAAGAAAATAAATAATTTTTATCTCTTATTATTTTTCGGTAAAGTTGGTAAAATTCGAGTAAAAAATTATTTAAACCAATAATTTTGTAGATATTTCCGTAAATATCTTAGAAAATAGAGATCGTATAAAAAAGTTTTTCAAACAAAACTTGTTTATTTCTTTACGTAAAATAAAATTCCGTAATAAAAAATACATGTTTCTATTTAAAAAAGCAAAGTTGACCTCGACCTGACCTTAGCGGCGTCACCCAAGATCAAACTGATAAGATCAGTAAATACATTTTTTAGACTCTACAACTTTTGTATTAAGTATTTTTTTTCGAAAATGCGCATTTTTCAAAATATTTAGGTGTTGCAAGACTTTTGGGATACACTGTATATGTACTATAGAAACTTTAATACACATACATACACACGTGAAATTTTAAATAAATCAATAACTACATTATTATCTTTATATGTTGCATAAGTTATTTATGTTGCACAAAGTGTCTGACACTAAGGGTCCCATGCTTCACGTACATATACAATTAGGTCAAACTGAACACAAAATTGAATCCTTAAAATTTCTGTAACATATACATATAAAAAATGCTTTGCAATAACTTACCCTTAAATCATCAACACCATCTCCATTTAGAGCTGATATCATGAATACATCTGTGAATTTTAAAGAAGTTTTGGCCTTGGTCAAAACTGTTACAAGATGTAACAGTGTATTCTTCTTCTTCAACTTGTCCACTTTATTAAGTATTAGGATCATGGGAATTTTATCTTCCACCTTCTCCAGCAATCCTTGTATATCTGGGTCGATTTTGTGTCTAGAGAATACATTATGAGAATCCTGCACAAGTCCTACGATGTCTGCTGTCTGTAAGGAATTTTTAGGATCTCTTCGAAAACTAGTAGTCAACTTGTATCGTTTTGATACATTTGTGGATACCATTCCAGGTGTATCCATAAATATTAACTGTGTATTGCCTTCTGAATAAATTGCATCTGCCTTAGCTTGTGTAGTATGTACTTTGCTGGATGTTGCACACACCTGAGAGAGCAAAAGAGAGAAGAAAAGAAAGAATTGAGAAAACGCAGTATAAGCAAGATTTATACAATGTAGTTTGTTAAATAGCAACTTTCTGTAAAATTTTGATGCTCTTTTTGTAGAATTTCTTTGCTTGCTTATATCTGCCTATTTTTTGCATTTTTTATATAACACAAACAAAGAGAAACTAATTCTTTAGATAATCCGATAATCACCGATCTCTTGATGAGCTGATTGACAAGTGTGCTTTTTCCAACATTAGGTGCACCCAAAATAGCTATCTTCAGACATTTTTCATTTTCTCGACGTACAGACGTGGTATTGTGACTGGGTTGCAATACAAATTCTCTCGCGTCAGTTGGTTGAACGTCGAAATTTCTTGAAAAACATCGTCGGAAGATTCGCGGTGAAAAACGAATCGCACAGTTCTCGATTGCAAATAACATTTCAAGTAGATCAAAACGACTTTGTAATATTCTATAAACCGGACGAATATATTTCAAAGAATACTTTTTGTAGTTTATAAACTTAATAAACTAAGTAATAAAAATAAGTTAATAAACTTATATAACTTATTATTTATCATTGCCAGATTGTATTCAAGAAACATTAATCTACTGTGTCGAACCATGTTCTCATAACCTAAATGGTATTGTAAAATACGCCATCTTTGGCTAGCGGTCTTTTTAAAAAGCTCTTTCTGAGAAAATAAATGTAAACTTCGCCGTAGCAGCCGGAAGTAAATAGCACCATCTATCTGTAGGTTGACGTATTTCCGCTAAAAAGAACAAACCTCCAATGCCGAGTGGGCCAGTGGATCAGTGACAACAACGTGACATAACCTGGAAAAAAGCATCGATTGATGGGCGGTTTGCTGTGCTCTCGACAGTATAGCAAAAGTAGGCAACATTCAGTCCTCACCAGGAAACACGACGAGCCAGAGCACGATGAAGGAGCCCGACGTGGATCCGAAGAACATAATCAAAAGTAGAGAACTGCTCTACAGGCTGATGATCAGGTTGCGTATTCTCGTCTTTCTCGCGCACACTTGATCGAATTTCACTCGTTTGCACATAATACTGCCGCCTAAAGCATAATTTTTACGTAAACGCACGATCATGATCATTGCGGTTCCTCACGATCACGGCTTGATCGGCAAACAATGAAAACCGCGACGCTTAAAGCGGTCGAGTAAATCATGTCGAATGTTTCAGTCAACTGTTCTACGACGGTCACCAGACGTTAGCTGTGCAACTGTCCAACATGATACAAGCGGAACCACCCTGTCCACCATCAGATCGGCTGCTCCATTTGATGCTGATCGGTGCTGCTCATGAGCCAGATCGTTCCAAGAAAGACAATAACAACAGCGTGTCCACGTTTGCCAGCAGCTTCGACAACACCTTAGGACCTGGACTGGACTTGGAATTTGAGACTGAGGCGCAGACTCAGGCTCCAGAGCCAGCACAGTATGAGACAGCGTATGTCACATCACACAAGGGGAACTGCAGAGCAGGAGCTTTCTCAGCGGATGGCCAATTGATAGCCACTGGCTCAGTGGATGCTTCCATCAAGATTCTGGATGTGGATAGAATGCTCGCCAAGTCTGCACCAGACGAGATGGCACCTGGTGACCAAACAGGTGGACATCCAGTCATAAGGACTCTGTACGATCATTTGGAGGAAGTGACATGCTTGGAGTTTCATCCCAGGGAACCTATACTCGTGTCGGGCAGTCGCGACTTCTCCGTGAAACTGTTCGATTTTAGCAAAGCCAGTGTGAAAAAGGCGTTCAGGACGATCACGGACGCCGACCAAATTCGCTGCCTATCCTTCCATCCGACCGGCGACTTCCTTATAGTGGGCACCAATCATCCAGTAGTTCGACTATACGACGTGAATACCGCGCAGTGCTTTGTTTGTAGCATACCATCCCACCAGCACACAGCCGGGATCACAAGCATTAAGTACTCGCCGGACGCGAAAACTTACGCCTCGGCCGGTAAAGATGGAAGCATCAAGCTTTGGGACGGCGTGTCAAATCGATGCATAAATACCTTCGTGAAGGCGCACGACGGTTACGAGGTGTGCTCGGTGACCTTCACACGGAACGGCAAGGTAGTATATCTCACTGGTAACGTTGAGAAAGAGAGAGAGAAAGAGAGATTGCGTACGCATTAAAATTGGCAAAGGAGAGCTTGGCACAGAATATCGCCATTTCGAGCGCGACTGCTGAATAATCGTTGTAATTTTGAATTGCAGTATTTACTGTCTTCAGGGAAAGATTCCTTGATAAAGTTGTGGGAATTGTCTACTAGCAGATGTTTAATAGCATATACAGGCGCCGGGACTACAGGTAAACGTCTAGGAATGCGCTTAGGCAGAGTGTGTTTGGCGCGCGGGTACATTACGCCTTGCGAATACATTAAGGAGTTTATTTACTTCGGACGAAAGTAAGCTGGAAATTCCACCAAAATTTCACGTAACTTGTCGCGGTGAGACACATTCGTGCTCGAAGTTTCATGCGATTTGTCTGCACCGTTCGCGAGAAATTTAATACTAAATCGCATTTTTACGGTAGAAGCAATACAGATGACCATTATTCCAATGTAACTTTGTAAAAAGTGACATCATCCAAATTACTTATCGTTGTAAATGTTAGAAGGAAGAACGGTATTCACTACACAGTTTTCATGTAATGGTCAATAGGCTAGAAAAAAACTGCTGTTTTATACTTGAACTAGCATTGCACTGAGTGAAACGTGACAAGATAATATCATGAAATTAGTTTAAAATTATTATTTAAATAGTAAAATAATTGTATAAAAACATACTTTTTTTGATAAATTGTGAACTTATGAGTAGTTTGCTTGATGCATTACTGAAAATACATATTTGATGAATAAACTCCTTAAGTGCGCCTCTTGGCGCTCGCCGCGGAACTTTTTATTTATGACGTCAAAAGTGAGGAAATACATGCTCAAAATTCCTACAAGGTATATCAAGACGAAAAGACATTCATAAAATACCCCAAAAACTTTTTTTGCTCGAACAGCAAAATTTTTGCAGTTAATAAATAACTGTGAGATTAATGTGACATGATAATGAAGGAATGTAAATTAAAAAGAGTAAAAAGTAAATGTCATTCCTTTGAATATATTTTTCGAATTCTATAATTATTTATTCTATAATTCGCGGGAATTTTGAGCATGCATTTCCCCTCGCGATGTTATTAAACGAGAGTTCAACGGCGAGTAGTCAAAAACGTCAAAGTCCTGAAACTGTTCGAGTGCATATGACTGAATGTGATACTTTCCGTAGGTAAACAAGAGCATAAGGCACAGGCCATCTTTAATCATACGGAGGATTACGTAATGTTCCCCGACGAAGCCACGACTTCCCTATGCGCTTGGAATTCACGGAATGCGTCGAGGAAGCAGCTATTGTCATTGGGTCACAACGGCCCCGTGAGGCTGATCGTTCATTCGCCGACTGCACCTGCGTTTCTAACATGCAGTGATGATTTCAGAGCGAGATTCTGGTTCCGAAGAATGCCGACTCACTAATTAAACGTTGTTAAAGTCAAAGGAAGTCGTAGGGAGTTACATGAAGTTACTTCCGATAATTTCTACTTTGCGAAAATACGGGTGACGTTGGCGACACGTTTAAGATCGGGTACATGCGTTGCGGGTGTAATTCTGAAAAAGAGAAATAGGTATTTAGGCATTTTGTATAGTTATTTATATGGTCTTACGGTTTATTTAAATCCTAAGCGACGAACCTCCTCGTACGTTTCAGTTATGCCAGTTACGTCAAGCTAATAATATATAAACGCTACTTAGTAATTCCAACAGTCACACGTTTCATAATGTGCAAGCAAGAAAGAACAAATTCACCTTCGTTCTGTGACAGCGTATATAAAAGCGCTTCCAATTCAGGTAAGTACATGACGAAAGTAGTTAGTCGACATCAGGTCCAATGCAAGCGACATGCGTCCACGAGAAGAATTTTCTAAGTCACGATTGCTTCTTTATACGATGAAAAAAAAGTTGCGGACATTAATAGTTTTGAGATACGTTTAGATTAATATTGTCGTCAAACTCGAGCGTGTGAAATTCTAATAGTTTCAATCTAGTGCAGTGCTATTGTGTGATATACTTGTATTTTTTATTATTGTAAAAAGAACATTATTTATACACGTATCTACGACGACAAGTTAATGTGATTCTGCGCGATCTGAGGTACATCAGATAATTATGCGCGATATTATTTTTCATGTAAATAGAGGTAGGAAGAGAGTGTAGTCTTTGCTTCCACTCATTTCATACATCTGTCTTTTTATTTATCATGAATACACGCTGCGCTTAATTTCGTTTGACATGATTTTCCGACGTATACGGAATCACATTATCTCACCGCTGGCTCGGCGACCAGTTCTGCCCTTTATTGGAGTAATAAAAAATACTGACTAGACACGGCCGGCAGTGTGTGAAAGCGGAGTTTCTCGAAGGAGAATCTCGGGGGTCGTGTGTGCGTCGCTACGTGCGTAGTTCGTCGCGGCGGCGCGGGGCGGCGCGCCTAACTCCCGCTCTGAGGTTTGACGAGGTGTCACGTGACCCACGCTAACCGCCATCTTTTCTTATCGTATAAACAGTACGACCGGGCGCAGCGCGAATTCTCGCCGTGGAATCGTGGATTTCCCAGTGTTTTTGAGTGATTCGCACGCGAAGACATGTCAGACGCCAAGACAGAAGCGAAGAGCGACAACAACGTCGAGGATGCGTCCAAGGTGAGCGGGCGGCAGGTACGCCAGAAACACCTTCGTCAAGCCGAGTTTTCATGCCGTGAGCGGCGTGTGTGCGGTGAGGCCCCCCGCTAATTCCCGAAGCCTCGAGGACGCTCGGTTGGCGTACGCGAACTCCCGGGGGGCCCCGGACGACAACACGGCGACGACGACGACGGCGAGGTGATGCCGCGCAGCCATGTACGACGCACGCACGCTCGCGACATTGCGACGCGGCTGCACCGCACCGCCGCACCGTACCGTACCGTGCCATGCCATGCCATGTCGTACCGCGCGCCTCCACGGCATGATCACCCGCTTGCTCGTCCGACGATATTCCGAAGCTGCGCCGTGTATCTACGCACGCACGTCTTCTCGTCGTCGGCAAAGATGGTGGATGTTTTTTATTTACGAGGGAGCTCAGGACCAGGCGGCGCGGGCGGGGAGAGAGGGTCACCGTCGCTACTGCTGCTGCTCCTCCTCCTCCTCCTCCTCTCCTCTACTCTACTCTCTTTCTCGCTCGCACGCCGTCTGGACGGCGCCGTGCGAAAAGGCGGGAAATCTCTGGCTACGCGGGCGTCACGACGGGAACGCGTCCGCGACGACGTGCCACGCGCCTCCGTTCGGCACCGACGCCATCGTTTACGACGGTAGCGGGACGCCATCGGCGACCCGGCGGCGGGAGGAGTCGTTGCGCGAGGCGTCGACGTCGGAGACGATACGGGCGAGCGCGCACAGCAAAATGGCGGGAAACTTGAACGGCGCAGCGGAACGACGGCGATGCTCGGCCGGCTACGGTTCAATGGTCCCCCGCACGATAATCTTATCGCGGACACGTCGTAATTATCGTGTCGCGCCTCGTCGTACCGTACGCTCGCTTCGTCTTCCTCGACTACTCTCGACTCACGAGTAATCTCGTGAGACGTCAGTGACGCGGCTGCGTAACAGACATATGTGCGAGACATGTAGATACGCACACTTACACATGCGTGTGTGTACGTGTGTGTCGCATGTGATATGCGTATGAGAGCGAGTGAGTAGGAACTACTCTCTCTCTTGGTTGTTCACAGGAGCAGTCGACGGAGGAGAAGCCGACTCCGATGAAAAATAAACGAAGCAGCAGCAAGAGGCTCTCCACTCTCGAGAGAACCGCTCAGGAGGGCGAGGCGATCCTAAAGGTGCGTCTGCAAGACAAATCCCGCATGTGTCATCGCTTATTCGGGCAGGGGAAACTTCTCGGCCAAGCTTTATCGCGAGTCTGAAAATCCACGAGGTCACGAGAAGTCAAGGTTCTCATCTCTCATCCCTTGTGCGCGACGGTTATTTCCCTCCGTTTTGGGCTCTGCGTCAACGCTTGTGCTTACGTGAGCGCAAGAGCGACAGTAGTGGGGATATTTGGAGGCTGGTAAAGAGGCCGGGGGCAAAGGGAGGTAGTGGCAGCGGTGGGGTGCGGGAAACCAATAGTTGCGTTGGCGCCAATTATGAATTACGTCTTGTGGTAATGTAATATCGAATATTGTGATACTGACAACATTGGAAAGTTTGAACAGCGTTAAACATACTTGTTATATAGTCCTACAATATCTTGTAGAATATTTGTACATTTTGTACATGTGTTTAGTGTGACAAGATTATAGTAATATTTATTAACAGGTAAGCATCCTTTGGTTACAAGAGAGAGATACAAAATAGCAAAAAGAAGTTATACCTTAACTTAATTAAAATTGAAATGAATAGCTAATATATAATTAATAGCTACAATAAATTCATCTATAAATTTATACATATAAGTAACGATAAGTAAATAAATAAAAGAAGAAAAGTACTACAAGAACACAGTGAAAAAGTAAATGTAGAAGATACTTCTTAGTTATTTGTGTATTTTTGAGGAAAATGGTATAAAACACTGTAGGTTTATTACATGTAACGCATTTTTACAGAACATGAATCAATCCGTTGGCGAAGTAGAAGGTAGGAGACGCACTCGTAGCTCTCTAAGAGGCCTAACTCCGACAACACCAGTGCCATCGCCACCCAAGAGGGAGAAGAGGGAGACGTCGACGAGAGGCGGCGGCGGCGGCGGTGGCGGTGGCGGCGGCGGCGGCGGCGGCGGCGGTGGTCGCGGACGCGGGCGCCCCAAGAGGCAAGAGAAAAACAATGAGAACAACACAGACGAGGAAACGTCCAACAACAAAAGCGAAAAACACATGGAGGAGGAGTCTACGAAGATGGAGGTGAACGAGGAGAAGGATGAGAAGGAAAGCAGCAAAGCGATAGAGAACGAAGACAAAAGTGCGGAGGCCGCGGACAGCAACAAAGATGATGATGAGAAAGTGTCCGAGGCCAACTCCAAGGACGAGAAGACGACGGAGGAATCGGAGGACGTGGCGGACGAGGCCAAGAGCACCGCCGTGAGCGAAGAGAAGAAGCAGGAGGAAGTAAAGGACAGCTCGGACTCGAGTCAAGATGCGATCGACACAGCAGCGGAAGCACCACCTTTACCATCATCGGAGTCCCAAAATCCCTCTAATGCCGTTACTACCGAGGAAAACAAGGAATAACCTCGTTTCGCCTGTTTGCTACTACTTTTATGTAAGTATGTCTCGATATGCTGCATCTTAAACTCGAGGTCGCAGGGTTTCTTTCGAAGTACAGTTTATTTCTTACATGGATTCTATTCTACCAAAGACTTGTTGCAAGGTTATCAATTCACGTATTGACTCTGGCACTGACATATTACGTTATGCACTTTCATCGTTTGGCTACAAATTCAAATCATGCGAAATCATACTTAATGAACAAGCGAACAGTATAGCTGTATTAACGTAAGATTTATTTTACTATAGGAGGTACCAACGGCGCACATGTTGGGGTTCACAAATCCAGTTCCCCCTCGTCTATTTTAACTAATTAACACCTTCTTGTCGATCGCTGCTTTAACCAGCGGCAATACCTTTTTCTTTTTTATGTTACTCTCAGACGGTGAATAGTTGTAAGGCGCTTTTACGACTTTCTTCGAAACGTCGTTAGAAACATTTGAAAGATGTATTAAACAGACTAAGCTGCATTGATGTGAATTATCGCTAATTTGCGATTACGATTCTTGGTCTCTTACTATAACAGGTATATTGAATTATGTTAGAAATGAAATTGTGTGAAGCTTTCCCTTGCAATATACGTCAGATTAGTTTTTATGTATATCGCAATCAATAGTATATATTTATCTGTGTTAATATAAGTGCACACAATTCACTCTATACATGTCCTAAATTTCCAGCCAAAATAGATGTCAATGCAGTTGGTCAAGATTTACCTCATGATACTCTTAACAGATAGTGAAAAAGAGTGTAGCATGAAAAAGAGCATTCTATATCTCTCACTTCTTGAGTCTTGACTCAATGCAAATACAATTAGAGAACAGGAACTTCAATTAATTTTCCTTACCTACGCTACGAGGTAAGATTATCTTATGTTACGTTATGCGCGAGATTATAATTCAGAAAAAAACAACCGTTAACACAGGTTATTAGTTTATGTAAGTATTAGTTGATTCGGATCGTCAATGCAACTTGGTGTTAAAATTAGACGTGTCTCTTGAAGGATTTCCAAACGCCTTTCGGATTTTTGCACTATTCGAATAATCATTATTTCTTCGTACTATATATTTTCTTTCAGTTCAAATGTCAAATTTTAATGATTCTCTTTTCTATCTGGGAAAAATTTGATATATTTTTGTTAAATGATATTCGTTATATCGCACGTATGTCATAATGCGCGTACGTGTTTTTAATTTCGACTTTATATCTTTCGAATTTTATTTTATGACGCTCGAATAGAACGATGCTTTCGTTTGCGCTGGTTAGTTAGCGATAAGCAACGCGAGGTGTAGAGCATACGTTGTTCATGTACAATGATAATATTATTGTAAAATATATTTAATATGGACTTACATAGAGAGAAAGTTATTTTCAAATCAGAGCTGACATCCGGGTCTTGTAGTAAAATACATACGTGATTCAGATCTGATGTGGAAATAGCTGAAGATTAATTCGTACATAGCAAATTACTGTAATACCTTTATCGTATATAAATAGTGACTGAATGAAGCGGAATATATGAGAATTATGGTGAACTGACACTTCTCTTTTTCATGGATTAAGCAGAAATAAAATTTCTGAGAAACGCGTCGCAGCGTTTATCTGTTCCCGTTTTCCTCCCTCGTATAAGTGTAATAACTAATTTTTACCAATTTCACTTACATCTCGTCGTTACTTTTGCCTGAAAAATGACTAACATTTTGTAGATTAAATCTTGTAATCCGAAAATACGACGATTGTGATAGAATGTATAAATTATATAGTATCGGATGGAAATTTCTCACTGTCACGCTGTGCTCGTGGTGATCCGTCTTTTCTGACTTCGTTTTACAAAATCTTTCAGCATCTGTATTTTTGTCATCGTGTACCCTGTTTTTTATTAGTCCAATATTAAATATGTTAATATTATTGTGTATCTGAACTTGTTGCGAGTGTACAGATTAGATTATATATGATTGACGCACCATATTTAGAGGACACACACACATACACATCCAACACACACATATACACTTGATGAGACACCGATATAATACTACGCGAGTTTGACACAGCAATGTTTTATTTGTGTAAATGTGTGCAATGAAGAGATTCTCGTGAGAATGCGGGCATTTAACTTGAACGCGGGGATCTTGCAATGAAAAAAATTAAGCATGTATGAACTACGCGAACTATGCGAGAACCTGGAAACAATTTCTTGATTTCTAAAAATACAAAAACAGAACAGGAAAAATGGATAAAATTCGCTCTATATCGATTCATAACACGAGAAAAAAAAAGATTATAGCTGACTAAAGTATTTCCTTGCAAGAGTTGTACTTTTAAATGAACATTTTATATCGAGACTCTGTACGTTCACGAAAGGATGATAGGATTTACCATTCCATTTTCCGTTTTCCTTTGCGTTATTATTATTATGTCAACAATATTCGAGTATTGTCCAGCTGAGATTTTCGATTGTAAATAGTGAAGATCAAGTGTAATATACGTGTACATAGTTTAACATTAAGCTTCGTGTATCACACTGGACCTTTTCTTGATTACCTTGCGAAATCTCAGTCTTTAGAGTGCCTCTAGTGTTATTAGCACTTCGTTGTATAATAATACCAGCGTAGAAATCCGCCGATCGAAATCAAAACGAGCCCTGTACTAGCGAGTTTACATAACTATAATGCTTCTAAGATGTAAACACGTAGAGAATATATTATATTGTACTTGGGGAGATTATTGTGCGGTTCGATATTAGAATTTCTATTGCAAATATATGCAGACCCTCGAGAATATTCAGTTTAACGATTGATCGTGTCGCGTAACACCCTTCTGAGCTACGACATAAATTTTTATTATTTACCAACCGAACGTTCCCGGTCGTGTCGGTTTAAATTAGAGATTCCGTTTCAGGACAGAGCCTGAGCATCTCATATGAATATACTCCGCAAATCGGAATAAATTTCCTTGTTACATGCAATGTTCGCGAAAACGTAATCCTGTTGCATATTGTACCGATCGATCATATATACATTTTACCGAATACACATTAATCTCTGTCTGTATTGAGATGTCTAACTCATAAAGATCCCTTTTATATTACCAGCCTGCAGTAGCCCCGAGTGTCTCTCATGTTACTTTACTTAAACTGTACAACTAAAATGACGATACTATGCAAGAAATGTACAAGTCAAATTTGTGAATAACATTTGTACGAACAGAATATGCGCTGTGGTTTTCCAAGCTTTAACGTAAGCAAGAACATGTGATGACCAATGTTGTTATCGTGTGTTACCTCAGATCGTGCGGCTCTACCGTTAAGTGCATATTAAACTCTTGCCATAAATAGCAAATTGAAGTTGATCGAAACTTAAGCAAATCTCTGCCTCCTGTCGTAGACATCACGCGCGCAGAATCAAGGGAGGATACAGAGCGTTGTTTAAATCGGGCATAACTTTAATTACGTTTATGGGAAAGGACTATAGAAAAGTAAGAGCGAGAGAATGGAATCGACGTGCATCTAAGAGTTCGTAATGCAAAGCATTTGAAATTTTAATGTGTGCGAGGTGTATATCAGGAAACATAAGGTTGGCTGGTAAGTTTCAGTGTCCCGTTTAGTCTTAAGCATTAAGTCTACAATATATAGATTTTAGCAGAGTAATTATATAAGATGAAGTGAGTACGCGATAGGCGCGCATTTTTAACGAGCACTATGGACGGTTAACGAAGGCTACACTTTAGTTTCGTCTTATATTAGAAATAGGATAAGAGTATAAAAAAAAGATAAGATAAAATGGTGAATTTACCATTGTAACGGCTGGTCAGTTTTGTACAATTCAGCCTTTGGTTTGGACAAAAAATTTCTTAAGCGATCATACGACAAAGTCCTCTTTCATTATACATATATGCGAGACTATCGTCTCTATCCTAGAATGTAAATGTATCATAAAAGAGCGTATATATATATATATATATACATATATATCTATTCCTTCCTTTACTACACAATCTCCATTATGATACAGTACGCGTGGACGCGAGCACCACGGCGATGATCATTCTGGATTGACTTTTGTAAGAAAAATCACATCGTTTAATAAAACTTAGAAAATTCGTGGCATGTTTCCTTCTGCAAAGTGCAAGTTTTTGAACGCACGGCAACGGATGCGCTGCGTGATACTCTTATAATATTCCTAGAAATATCAGATATCGCTGTTGACACGCGTATAACGAAGTCACACGGTTTATCCGTCAACGATCGCACCGTTCTAAGTGCACCTGACGAATTCCTAGAAAAACTCAATCATTTAAAGTTATCAAGATAAGGTCCACTTGGTGTTTTGAGAGTTTCACTTATTTAGTAAGGTAACTTGTTACCCCTTTTTGGAGATTTAAAGAAAAAAATATATATAAATATTGCAAGATACACCTTGTGTGAAATTAAACCGAAATATACATACCATTAACAAGTAAAACAAAGCTAGCAGTCGGTTTGCATAATTTATTTGGCAAAAGTTTTAACAAAAGTTGTATATAGATATAAAGATACTATTAATATATAAGTTTAATATAATGTTACGGATTACAAGATCTTAGTTTATGGTCAATTCTTAGATAATCTAAAAAATTAACTTTCAATGATCACTTTTAAATGATCACACACAACTATAAGAATAATGACAACGTGTAATACTATTGTAATACATGGAACCTGCCACTATGTATTACTATATGTTCTAGCTACATCATTTGTGCTTACAACGTTAAAGCCAGAGGGCATTTGTCATTTTTAACCAAATTTGAAAAAAAAAGAATTTATACTGACATTAAAATTTTTTGAATATTCAAAAACGGTACGTTATGTTGTGTAATCTTAAATATTTATCTATTTATAAACGGCATGTTTTAAATTTGTTATGTAATTTAATACGCAATTTACATAGATGCAACTGACTGCATCATAAACTATTATTTATTATTTTCTATACTGTATTGTGTATGAGGAATATTGAAACATGTTGAATTCAATACGGCATCTATAAGAATGGAACTGTGATTGCATTTTGAACCGATTATTATTTTATATATTCTATAGAGGTAGAAAGCTGCGACAAAAAGTCGCAAAAACTTATCAGCTCGCGTATATCGAAATATAGTAAATCACACGTTCTGCGATTAATTATACTTCGCAGCCTGTCATTTAAGTACCTTACTTAACCAGTCTTTTATAGTCGATGTCAATCTAATATGGTCACTTTCAGTCTTTAAGATATAATTATACTGGTAAACGCCGTGAAAAGTGTGCGTATTACGGATTTCTTAATCATTACCAGTTATTAGTCTTTAGAATTTTAATTTGAATGATGGTTTGTATGCTTATTAGGAGTTATGCAATGATCACAGGCGCAGGTACATATTACACATGATGTGCAGTTGACGTCATTATAGATATAAATAATCTGTAAGTACCTATTCAGTACAAGCACTGAGATACTTGCAAGATAACCATCAGTCTACATTCTTTAGAATCTTTATAAAATGACCTAAATATGCTAAGCTGAGCCGCCAGCAGTCTGGCTGTTGCAAGGCTGTTCACAGGTAATTACAGGTGGAGCCGCATATTGTACGTAATGCGGGGGTGGTGGTCCTATCATGGAATACCACTGTTCTTGCATGTTTGTTGGAGGTAGTGATGGTGGTAGTGGCGGTAGTGGTGGTGGTAGTGGCGGTGGTGGTGGTGGTGGTGGCAGCAGCTGCTGCTGCTGCTGCTGTTGCTGCTGTTGTATAACAGCAGGGAACTGCATTTGCGGTGGCGCCGGTGGGTACATTATTGATGGACACATCGTTGGCGGATAACTTGGCGCGTAAGCCTCGGTATGTTGCGGAAAGAGATGCGGTGGATAAGGCGGCGGTGGAACTGCTGGCGCGTTTTCGGGCGCGTCGTGATACGCTGCTGTTGTGCCCGGTGGGAAACACGCAATAGGAACAAGCGCGCTGTTTATGTAGTACGGGTTGCAGCAAATTTCCGCGGCGGCTGCGTCGTTCGGATAAAATATCATGTTGGGTGGCGGTACGTAAGGCGCGCACCCGTTCACCGAATTGACTGCTGCTTGCTGCTGCTGTTGCTGCACCATTGGATCCAAATGTTGCGGTTGCTGCTGTATATGAGTGATGATCTTCGCGTCGTGGGGGGAAGCAGCCGGGATAACTGCACCGCAGTGATTCCAGTATTGCGTGTACGCCAGTGCATTTCGATTGTTCTGTTGGTAACGGACCTTGCTGCCTGCGAACAGAAATTATTCTGGAGACGAATATATCATATTCGAAACTGTCGCAATTTCTATACAACAAAGCTAGGGCGTACATTCTTCTTTGAAAGAAACATATAAAACTATGCTGAATCATTACCTTTACCACCTTTATTAACCGTGCCATTGTATTTCTTATCTGAAACCTGATACGAAAAGTCTTTGACACCTAGATTCCTCGATGTTCCCTGTTTCGGATGCTTCGTGTTTGGCACACCGTTTATGTAAGGAGTCGGGGCTTTGTAGACTATCGGCTCGGCACTACAGCTATCTTTGCCATCAACGTTGCATCCTGCTGTTTCGTTACAAGTTAACGAGCAATTCTGCACGCCATTAACAAGACGCGCCACTTCCTCTCGCATATACGGGGCATCTGTTAAAAAAGAAGACAAGATTTATTGTAATGTCGTAAAGCAGTTTATGCAATTTACACTTTCATTGATACATTACTATTCATGCCAGCGTTCGATGTTCCCTCTAATGGTAGTGCATCATGGTGTCCCGGTCCGAATGCCATAGGTCCGTAATTCCAAGCTTGATTTACACGTAAGTACTGCAAAAAGTTGGACGTTTTAACTTTATATCCATTTTCAATATTTGACAATACAGCATGGTACTTTTTCGTCTATCATATATGCAGGACGTAATAAATAAAATTGACAAATTTCGAGGATGTATAGAGGATTTTAACACAAACATATATGCAGTTATATATATGTTAACAGAAAAAAATACATGTCTATACACATACCTCCACACCCGAGTTACACATAAATCTTGGTGGAATAAAATCTAAAAAGAAATATAAAAAAATAATGTTATTCAAAATAAATACGGTTTTTAACACGATTGTGTAATTATATGTGCGATGACCAAGGCTCGAAAAAGCTGTCATCTCTACCACAGCGTGATAAGTTCAATTATAAATCTGAAAGAACTTGGTACTCGTCGTCTGAGAATTAATGTAACGTAACTTACGGTCGGCTTGATCGAAATCACCAAAATTTCGTGGTAAAAACGGAATAACTGGATATGAACTGCCGTCAGCGAAGACGTAGAAAAGTTCCGGATCCACTATATTTATTTGCGGATTAACTACAACATCACATAGAGTGATGTAAATTTCAATTTGAATCGAATTTTACACGCATTTTATTGTATTCATTAACACGTATGCTTTTAATGCATTTAGGAAGCAGAGCAAAGTCTATGCTAAGAAATTCTTTTATAAAACTTGTAATAAGATTCTTTTTTGTCATTTGAAATTAATAGTTTATAAATATCGTCTTCATATATTTTCCAATAGATGTAAAAAAAATATATAGTTTAATAAAAATATATTGCTTATTTCTGAATACTTACTGTTAGAAAGGCAATAATTTTCGTCTATCATCTTCGTTTTAGAATACGAATTCTGATGACTGTTATGATTATTATGAGACCTTCCAGATCTCACAGGCTTGGTTACGAAACTATTATCAACATTATGTTTCGTAAATGATTGTATACTATTAGTTTTCTTACGGTCTTCGATTATCTCTTGTACTACGTTATTTGTCTTTAAGGATTGTGGATCGTGAATAGCCGCCGTAGGTGGATTGTTAACTGCTTCCTACGAATAAAAAAATAAAAACGCAACAAAGTGTATCAGTGTTTTCTGATATTTGAAGACAATACAAAAGCATTCTTACATTTGTCGTATGATTAACACAGTCCTTCTTAACATGATTCTCTGAGGTTTGGTCATGATTTACTTTACTGTAAATTTTATCATAAAATATAACATAAGAAATAATTTGTCCTATTATTAATTGATTTGTATCCAAATAATTTTAATAAAAGTTATAACATAAATTAAATATTATGACCAAGATACATACGAAGATACAGAAGATTCATCATTGCGTTCATCAGCTTTACAGTCGGCTTTGTTAGCACCCTTGATATTAATGGTATCAACGTCATTTCTATTTATATTATTTGTTATGGGATTTGTTACATTTATAGTATCCTTTTTCTTTCGTGAGGTTGAATTATACGTCTTCTTCCATCGCCGACCTATCAAAAAATACAATATAAAAATGAATATTAATTAAACGTACAACAAAAAAGATTATAATTACGTAATTTAACAAAACTACCTGTATCTGTAGGTATATTTTTTTTATTATGTGACGTTGAATTTTGTTTATTTTTTTTTGCGAGGGGAAACGGTTTCAGAGCAGCATACGGGACAAGACGCATCTCTCCTAATTCTTCGATAAAAACGAGAGCTGGCTCTTCATTGGAACCCAATCCTTGTATATATCCAAAATAAAAGGACTTATCTTGTTTTGACTTTTGCTGCACACTTTTGGCGTTACTTCCACTAGTACTGGGCTGCGACGGATTATTACTTTTAGTTTGATCGGTCAAATAGCTCAAGTTAATCAAACACTTGCCACCGACTTGAAGTTCATTGCTATTATGCTTGTTCCATCCTCCATATTTTACCTCTATGTACAAATAATTTTATTTTTAAATATTTCGCTCTTATCTCAAAATATAAAAGTAAGTTTCATGTTGTATAACAAGAAAAATTATGTAGTATAGACCATTTAAAACATATCATCTAAATAACTCTTTTATGCTCAAAAATATTGAGAAATAATTTAAATAAAATTATAATATTAACTTCTTAGGCGGCCTGTTCTGTACGTATACCTCGTTTTATTTCATGCCACGTGTCGAAATCTGTATTGCGATAAATATCAGGACTAAGTGCTTTTGCAACCTTGTAAGGGATAGGTGGTATACCTCTGGAGTCGTATTGCACTTCGTCCGCGTTGATACGACTACTTTCGACTCTACTGTATAAATCTGCAGTCAATTGTCTACGGAAATGTACTTTCTTAAGATCTATTTACATTTGAGGATCTGCATTCCAATTGCAGTAGTGATGTATGCCACTTGACTTGATTAGAAGTAACTTACTCTCTAAATTCAAGATTTCCCTTCTGAAAGAATCTATCATGTCTAAATGTATCGTTTCGATCGATATTTAACATTTTATCTGCTGTATGCGTTATACCAGTCATATTAAAAACGCTCTCGTATAGAGTTCCATAAACGAGAGCTGAAAACAAGAAAATTGCAATTAAACATCTCGAAGTCTCTTCTGTCGTAATAATAGAAAATAATTAAAAGAATAAATCATATCGGTGTACATTGACAGTAAGCAGCCTTTTTAACATATAATAACGATAGAACAGTCTCATATTGTTTTGGTGGCGTGTAACAAAGTAACAAATTCTGATCGAATCCACTGTTAGTAACGTTCTCGACCGTTTGTTTTTGTCCATTAAATATGATCACGTCTCTTTTATAAAGCAGGGATATGGCACGAATTTCATTCATGCCTCCCCATTCGGTGAAACATGCCATTTGATCCAAATAATGTTCATATGAAACATTTATTGACTATAAACAAAGAGAATAAAAAGAATGAATAAAGAAAAACAAGCAGAAAGAGAAAAATGTCAATTTGTTTAATAATGCAAATAATATATTACATGCAAATAAACAAAACCTTACCTCCTCGAACAGATGCTTCTTTTCCTTCATAAACGTTACGCATTCACTTCTGACTTTTATATGATAATATTGCGTATGATATATCTGTTCACTAACTGCCCGAAATAGGCAAGTTGGATCTTTGGGAGTATCCTTTCTGTAATAACCCTTTTCCTCCAACCAAACATCTACTCCAGTATGCTCTTGCACCCGTTTTGACATTCTTCTGGTATCCAGATGATACCTATTGACTGACATCTGGCTATTGCTGTGTTCTATCAAATCAAAACTGTTGGGGAAAGTTGTTAAATGAAAAGAATATTGTAGGTGTTAATGATATGCATGAAATATACATTTAAAAAAAAAAAAAAAAAAAAAATATATATATATATATATATATATATAAAATACAAGGATTATAGGAATTAAAAATGTATATAAAGTATAAGGATTAAAGGAAGTAAAAAGAGTAGCATAAAGAACCTATACTCATAGAAGCATCTGTTAAAATCAACTCAAACAATATAATGTCTAAAATCGGAACCTAAGATGTCTTAAAGATCATTTTTAAGATGTCTTTCAGACGATTTACATATAAATGTCTTTAAAGCATCTTAAAGATTATCTTTAAGACATCTTATGTCCCGATTTTAGACAATATATTGTCTGGGAACATTGCAATATTGTCAAACATTCAGATTTAAATTATAATTAGGAAAGTTAACAATTAAAAATATTGATTGTTGCTTCAACTTAAATCTAAAGAGATATAATCTGCAAAATATGAAAAATAAAATAATCCTCTAGACTAACATTGCGTATAATATAAAAATAATTATATTGAACAAAATAAAGAATTTGTTTTTAAGTTTTGTGTCTTTTCTCAATTGTCCAAACTTGTTAAATGTTATATTACTTAAAATTTATGTTCCAAATCCATCATTAATTAATAAATTCTTATAACTTCGTCAACCATCAAGTACTTGTCAATCTATGCTCACTTAATATTGATCTAAACAAAATCGAATAATCACTCAATGAGCAGAAATCTGTAATTAATTATATTCTCAATCAAAGATTGTCATTGATTTACAGCTATAAATATCAATCTCAAAAATAATTTGTGCGATAATAATGTGAACTATCTTATTGTACTGTAATTGGTGCAAATTAATTTTAGATTTTCAATGTGTAAGTTACATTGTTGGTATACACTATTTTAGCAAAAAATTGATTGTGAGATGAGTAAAGAACCAGGTGTAAACAAAAGACGATAAATCGCTCACGGATCAATCGTCAATATAGTGTTTCACTTCTCACGGTTTCGAAAGTTTTCGTACACATCTCAAATTCCCCTTCTAATAAAGACGTAATCTTGTTGAGAAATTTCAGGATCGAAGAAATCTTTTTCAAGAAATTTAAGGCTGACAAAACCGAAACGTGAAAATCGAAGCTGTAAATGCATTTATATGCAATCCGAGACTGATCTCTCAAAGAATCAAAGTAACATAGTAACAAAGAAAACTCATACGAAAAAATCTTTTACCTCTCACCCTCGGCCATTGTTAACGCAAAACAATGTCACCATCCTCTCACGACCTGTACGATGTAAAATGTACTCACCTCACACGTTATTGGATGTATAACCGGGTATATGATGATCGATATCGATATTTAATCAACATCGATATAATCAATATCGATCATACTTTCGCGATTTCGCGCACGCAGGTGCGTAGAGGCCCGTAGAGTGCGCCATTGGCTACGTTCAGCAGAGAAAGCTGCTTTGCAACTGTTGTAAAATTCGTGAATCTAATTGGAGCATGCTCTTAATTTTGGTTGAATCCAAGAGCATGTACCAATCAGGTTCACGAATTTTACAACAATTGCAAAGCAGCTTTCTCTGCTGAACGCAGTCATTAGTGTTACCGTCAATAACATAATACACAGCTGGATTTTATATTTAATACAGTCTTAAGTTCCCCTTCAGAATGAAATGCTCCAATAAAACGATCGGAATCCAAAGAAATGTTCATTATCTGAATATGAACTTAAGCCAGCTTAAATATAAGATCCGACCATAAATATTGGCCATAGATCAAGCATTGGTATATTTTTCTATAGCAGGGGGGAAGTCAGAAGATGGCAGTTAATGCTGGGATACTATTCCGTATACTTACCGTATGCTTACCGACAACTGTTGGGTCGGTAGACGTCGTTGCATAGCTTTTTTATACCATAGAAAAGCTGCGCAACGACGTCTACTGATCCGATAGTTGTCGGTAAGCGTGTACGGAATAGTATCCCAGCTGGGATTCCGTAACTCGTTATTGGAGTTAACGCCCTTATAGAAATATCATACTAAGAATCATTGATAATTACTTATTTTCAGTATTAAAAATACTGGATAATAAGTATTTATCAATGATTCTTAATATGGTATTTCTATAAGGGCGACAGTTTCGTTATCGTTGCGCAGCTTTTGTATATCGTAGAAAAACTGCGCAACGATAACGAAACCGTCGTTAACTCCAATAACGAGTTACAGAATAGGGCTACAGGGGTATAAAACCCAGCTGTGTATTACGTTATTGATGGTAGCGCTAATGGCACACTCTAGTACGGGCCTGTCGTGCACGGAATCGCGAAAGTATGATCGATATCGATCATCATATACCCGATTATTATTATACATCCAACAGCCACCTATTGAGAGAGTATTAGAGTGCCTCCCCATGCGGCGTAACTTGCGTAAGCGTAACCTGCGTAATATAGTAATTTACTAGAAGTTACGCCATTTTGCAAGTCGACATTCAATACCTAATTCCCGTGGCGCGTATTTTGTTAAATTCGCGTAAAGCGTAACCAATAACTTCCTAAAGCTGACCAATAAAAGGTTTTCTATTGTACAATACAACAAAAATACTAAGTTGATTTTCGATCGGTTGTTATTATTTAAGCGTATTGTTAAATACGCCTGAATACACGCCATGGGGATAAGATAATTTACATGTAAGAATGTGTGAAAGCGTAATGTGTGTAGCTGTACGATAAGGTTAAGATATTGGGAGTACAAATTAATTCGGTCCGTTTTTTTGTGGTCAAAAATGCATTTATTTATTTCAGAACAAAATGAATGAACAGATTAATCAAAATATTGTCCATTGCTGGTTACTACTTTTTCCCACCTCTCAGGCAATTTTCGAATTCCATCTCGAAAAAATGTCTCGTCTTTTGAGGCGATCCAAGTTAGGAGCCAATTTTCGATTTCTGCGAAAGAAGTGAACCGATGACCTGCCAAATCGTGCTGCATCCGTCGGAACAACCAGTAATCAGAAAGAGTAATGTCCGGCGAATACGGCGGGTGCGGTAAAATATCCCACTTGAGCGTTTCCAAATAATTTTTTACGACTTTTGCAACATGAGGCCGAGCGTTATCATACAGAAGAATAACTTTGTCATGTCTTTGCTCGTATTCCGGCCGTTTTTCTCGTAATGCACGGCTCAAACGAATCAATTGTTGCGTAACTCCCAATGATTCTGCAAGCTCCTCTTGCGTTTGACTCGGATCTTCATCGAGTAATGCCTCCAATTCTTTGTCTTTGAATTTTTTTGGATGTCCAAAGCGAGGCTTGTCTTCAACGCTGAAATCACTATTCTTGAAACGTCGAAACCATTCCCTATGTGATTTATCAGTTGGAGCATTGTCACCATAAACTTCTACAAGCATTCGATGCGCTTCAGCTGCACTTTTCTTCCAATTAAAGCAGAAAACTAAAACATCCCGCAAATGCTGCTTAATTAACACAAAATTTGACATATTTAACACAGTAAAAAACAGGGGTTTTGTATGAAACTCAAAATGATATAAACTGAATATTATTGATAGATGTCTAACCTCTCTGAAACCACCGAAATCAACTATCACTATGAAACATTCATAACAGCCAGAACCATCTTTTGAAAACGGACCAAACTAATTTGTACTCCCAATAGTAGTTAATAACAACGTTGCCTATTGAGAAGTGTGAAGGTAGGGAAAATAATTTATTACTTTTATATACTTAATCCCTTTACTTTAAGAAAAACTGAATTTTTTATTTTTTAACTCTTTATTAGACTGTGTAAAGTATATGTGACTCATTTTCCAACAGTTCGTAAAGGAGTGACATGCAGATTGATACACAAATGATTGGAAAATGTAATATACTCATGTTTCTGCGTTTTTAAAAAAGCGATACCAAAAATAAAAACAATTTATAAAACATTAATAAAATAGATATAATAGATATGTTATGCTTATGGTAGAGGGCGCGTCTACATGTAGGTACGTCTACATGTGCGGCAGATCTACAAAATGAGATCAGGGTATCTATTATGGACTTCTTTGGAATCAATTCCGATCGGAATAATTCCGTTTCCCCTAGAAAAGACAATGGGCGCATTCAGTAGAAAAAGCGCTTAGTGAGCAATCAACGATTATTGGTTCTTGCTATTAGATCCCTAAATCTAGATCAATTACATTTGCTGCATTCAGTAGACTCAACAGTTGCACAACAGTTGAGTAATTTGTCAATGTAATTAGTCTAGATTTAGGAATCTAATAGCAAGAACCAATAATCGTTGATTGCTCACTGAGCGCTTTTTCTACTGAATGCGCCCATTGACAAATTACTCAACTGTTGTGCAACTGTTGAGTCTACTGAATGCAGCCAATAGAAATCTAGGAAATAACTAAATGTTTTCGATCGAAATTGATTCCGAAGTCCATAATAGGTATCCTGTGTCCACTTTTTAAGGCTGCGTTCGGAAACGTTATTCGAATACTCTCCCTCTCTTTTTATCTCACCCTTGTATTTCGCTTACTCCAACGGCTATCGTCTAATACTGTGCACACAGTGTGTATTTCCGAACGCAGCATAATTATGAATTCGACTGTTTGCACTAGTGTACACTAGAAGTAATTCTATATTAGTTGCAAGTCGTGAGTCGACAAGAAAATTAACCACAGTAGATTTTTCAAGAATAATCGACTGATTGCTTTTCTTGCCAACTCGCAACTTGCAATGTAGAATGATCTTAAGCACAAAAGGATTGTTCACAATTCCTTCTTGTATATTTAAGAAATCGCTTTAAATACATCTTCAGATACTTTTTAACCAATAAAATAACCTGTACATTGTACGGATTATTTTGTTGGCTAAAAAGTTTTTGAAAAACGATAACGCACTCAATATGCAAACGGCCGAATACGCTTTGAGACAAACGCTGAATGTGACTGTTATATTAAATGTGCGACACGAATTTTCTTTTTTCTAAATAAAATTTCGTGCCAGGGCAAAGAGAAGTAAACCACGATAAGCCTTCGTACAAATTACTTTTTTTTATTCGTCGTAATAGGTTCATCGGAATGACAATGCGATGTGTACGAAATATTAAAAAAGTACAATAGCCCGTTATACAAAATATGATTTTTACATAAATATAAAATCGACCACTGTATGTGCTTCCGCGATATCTGCTGTAACAGATCATCATGCAATGCCACCGAGAAATTTGCCTGCTATTATCGAAAATAATGTATACCCGCGCGTGAAGCAACTTTTTTTTCTTTTCTTTCTCGATAGAAAAAACTACACCTTTGGCGAGAAGACGACGATCCCGTGCGGTCTAAAGCGAGTTTAATAGAGGACTCGTCTCGTGGGAATGAATTTTTCGAGCTCAATGCGCTTGCCGCGATCATTTTTGTCGCAATTTTCTTCTTTCTTCGCCTCATCTATTAGAGCCATATTGGATTAGACTAACACTCGTGTTGTTTGATGTTTGCCGCGTGAAAAAACGAGCGAATCTATAACTAGGAAGCAAGTTAGAAAAATTTCACAGCAAGACGATAGTTCAATGTTCTCTTGTCTTTTTTTTTTAGATCCGCTCTCATTTAAGTCGTTGTTTAATTGTCGTTCAATCGTCTCTCGGCGAGCGGCTTGGATAACAAGATTAAAACGGACGGTAGCAGCGGTATCGTCGTCGCGACTATCTAGTGTTTCAATTGGACGTTTTCGTCGAGGGTCTTCCGATCTCGCCAGAAAGAGGAAACATGCCCGATGGCGATAGTAATTAATAAGTATAATCATAGGATTACGACTAACACAGTGCTTCGCGTTCGCGCATTCATTCTTGGCAGTGTACGAATAATTATTATAAAATGTCACGGATATAGAAAATGGAAGAAGCGACGAGTCGCCGTTTCCCGTTCCCTTCCTTCGTATTCCTTCCTGCATACGGCGGCTCTCTTTTTAAGCGGCTATCTTTTCGGCGTCGATCGCTGAAATCAATAACGGTATCCATAAATCATAAACTCAGATAAACATTGAAGGAAGCATGACTGCTTATCAGTGAGTTTAACATTGTTAAATAGAAAACGTTTTGCGCTACAATCTTAATGTTTTCAAAATATAATGTTTATTTTAAAATCTTATTCCACTTCATGTAATGCATTATGACTTTGAACACACAAGGATATCTAAAGACTCTAGAGAGATTATTTCCTTATCGTACGGATCTTGAAAATTTTATAACATTGTTTAAGTTGATCATGACTCTTCAGTATAAGTGCTAAGATAATAAATGACCCCACGTCGATCTCGAATGGATTCGACAGTAAATCGAGTATTAAAAGCGTGTACAAACCTTCTTTGGTCGGCAAAGGGTTCTTCTCCAAAGTTTTTGCATGCTTCAACTTCGCCGGATCGAAGTTCTCGATGCCGGAGATCAGTTGTTGTTTCCCCTTCTCTTGTTGAATCGCTATAATACAATGCAATATTATAGAAAGACGTTTAATAAACGTTAAACTTATTTGATACTTTATTTTATAATTTCAATATCAAACACCATAAAAAGATATATTTTTATATTTAAAAAGATGTATGCTCATATTGGAAAACTTCTGGTAATTATTGATAAAAAGGGAGTCAGCTGCAATAAACTTGATCTTGACATATGTTGTAGAGGTCATCGTCCTGAGTAATATGCAAAAGATTTTAACCGTCGGTTGTTGTTTATTAAAATGTTACTAACCAAAAAAAGTTTTATTAATATCAATATTTACCAAATTTCTCTTTCACTTGAATTTTCTCTGGTTCGTTTATTTTTTTATTTTTTATAATTAGTTAATATATAATTTATAAATTAATCAAATTTATAATATACACTAGAGTGTAATTTTTTATTAATGTCAGGATCAATCTAATAATATGATTCTTTATGCTATACGTACCATCTTTATCGGGGAGCGGGTTCTTTTCCTGAGTCTCAGTATGCTTCAGACTTGCGGTGTCAAACTTCTCAATACCGGCGATCAACGTCTGCTGAGTTTTTTCTGCGGCAACGTCTGAAAGCAGTCGAATCGACATTAGAAACGGCGAAAATTACACGTGAGCGGGATTGCGGACGAGGAATGGAGTACCTCATCTCGCATGCTAGATATATGAATTTACTGTATCGCTTGATACTAATCCAACTCGCGAGCGGATTAGCACATAATAAATTCGAAAATCATGCGCACGATCGACGCAATCAATCAGTGACCAGTACCGTTCGTCGTCCTTGCTCTTCCTTTATAAGGCGCACGCTATTAATGTCTCGCGCATACATATAAAACCTGCACGTTTTCACGAGGCTAAATTACGCAGATTGTGTTTGAGCTCAAGTTAAGATGATCTTACGTGAAGAAATTAAATTTCGAATAGATTACAGATGTTTGAAACGGGCAAGTATTTTATTTAAGCATTTTGCATGAATAAATCTTGCGTTTTTGAAAAAATTTATCCTCCCAAATATATTGAAATAATACACTTTTTTCTACATGTGCTATAATACACGAGATATTCTAGATTAATCGGTTTTAACGGCAAATTCCTGAACTGTGATTGCATTATAATCCTTAATTCTTTAGATTTCGGTACATTTCAGGTCAGATAATACCTATCCTAAGTTGAGTTAAGGAATTCGTATAACATAAAAAAGAATTCAAGATAAGTAAGAAGCTCTAATATAAACGAGTTATTTTTCCAAATTACATTCGATATTTTTGTCTTTTAATATCTTAATCTCGTTAGATTATATAATAAGAAATTAACAAAAAACAAGTGAAGCGATTTCAGAAAGTTATCACTGATGCTATCACCACAACCGCTAATATTATTATTATTAATGTTGTCAGAAAAGCAGGGTCTGAGAGACCCCACGCATTCCATCTCGTTCTTTTTAAATCTATGTAATATCTTAAGAATTGTTTTCTGTTAGCTATTATTAAATCTCAGTATTCCACAGAATCATGAGAGATATTAAAATGTATGAGAAATTATAAAAATACAACAAGAGAAAAGAAAAAAAAAATATCACCATACCACCTTTCCAATGACGGGTTAATTACAATAAAAAAAGAATAAAAAAGCTTTGCATGCAAACGATAATCATTCCTCGCCAAGCAGAAGCGACAGTTGATCCCGGATTTCCGTTGCCACCGTCGAAAAACCCAGGAAATACTCCTCGTTGCAGTGCTGAAAAGTGAAGTAGTGCTCCGGAAATTTCTTGCTAAGATCTTAAGAAGCGATACCTTTGGCGTTAGGCAATACAATCTTCTCTTTCATATCGGCGTGCTTCAACTGATCTGTCTTAAAGGTTTCCAAGCCGTGTATCAGTTCCGAGTGCTGTCGCTCCTGTCGTACGTCTACATCAGCAATTCACATATCTTTATTATGTGATAACCGATAGATAGTGCTGCTAGTCTTGCATTACAAAAATTACTGCTAACACTCAGACATACAGTTAACACTCAGACATTTAGCGCTAAATATAACTAATTAGAAACTTAAGTACAAATAAACGTGAATTCATTAAAAAAAACACACGAATTGTGAGATTAACAGGAGACGCACAACACAAACGTAAAAATGTATGATAAATCTTGCATTACGAGCAAATAATAAAATTGGAGTGACTCTGTTCGACGGGAATCGATTTCATGCATAATCAGTCGAGTTGTGTATCTTCACAACTTTTGTATGTGTTTTACCTTCAGCAGAGGGTAAAACGTTCTTCTCGGCGGTGGCGGCCTTCTTCATGCAGCCATGATTGAAACCTTCCAATTCGCTTTTCAGGTCTAGAGCTACTTTGGGCAGATCTTTCAGCGACGGACTCGACATGGCGCAGCGTTGTCACTCCTTGATCTGTAACCACAAGAACATAATTATGAGATTGATCATCACTTTTGTCAAAGCAACACTCACCGAATCAAATTACACAAGGTAATCCTACTCCACACGTTTACGTTAATTTACAATAATTTACGATAATTCTATTAACCGCGGAGATTTTCTTGAGGTTTAAAATCGTCGAATTGTCAAGGGAAGGTTGACCGTATGAATCAGAGCTGATTAATAAAATACATCCAAGGGTCACGACCGTTTAATGAGCACTCAAGATTTGTGCACCGGACGCTAGCATTCTTAAAGCCGTTCACAGTGAGCGACTGAAGTCGCTTCATATTACCAATTAGTGTGCCACGTGAAGTCCGAAATATCATCGTCTTTCTTTCTTTCTTTTCATTAAAGCCTTCTATGAGAATTGTTTAAACCTCGCAAAGCAACTGTCAATTAGATCCCTGAGAATTTTTTCAGACGAAAATTCTATATTCTAACACCAAGATCTTATTATTGGGTAATCAAGTGGTTCGCGTCAAGATACGCTTTGGGACATCCTACGCGCCGCGATGGAGAACACGTCGTTCAACCTGAAGGCGCTTAAACCGGAACTCGAGGAGTTCTTAACACGCTATGTAACTTATCTTCCCGGAACGACATATCTCTTTTTAGATTTCTCGTCATGTATCTTTCGGTACGTGGTTCGTTAACAAGTTACGTTAGTAACATACTTCAATAAAGAAAATAAAAATTTAAAACGCTAATATCATGTTCCTCTACGTGTTCATGGAGGAGAATTTCACAGTAAAAATTACTATAACATTCTGTAGCCGACGAGTCAATTTCTGTAGTGACTATCCTTTCACTTCATGTGTTCTGCTTGTATATTCTGGGAACTGAAACATGCTATTAAAACATAAAACTCGCTATGTTTCTAGCGAAATTTATTATAGATTTGTTCGAAAGGTTATTACACTAATAAATAATAAGTTAGAGTGAAATAAGTATATCTTCTTTCACTAGTTTGCACTAGTTTAGAAGTTCTTTGAAAACAAATAGATCTTATGTTGCTTATGCTGATTTATACCAACTTTGGTTAATTTAACCGACTGGTTATTCCAACGGAATTGGCCAATCGTATCTGTCAATTCTGAGAAATACGATTACTCAATTCCGTTGGAATAATTGGTCGGTTAAATTAACCAAAGTTCGTAGAAATGGGCATTATATATATACAGACCTTACTGACAGTCTACTCTTGGACACTAAAAACGTAGTCAAATTGGAAAGAATTTATGTGAATAAAAGAGAAATTATAATATTCTTTCCGTTACATTATTCTATCGTTTAATCTTATACGTGATCTTACAGTAACCTCAGCACAAATCACACGTAAAACCTCATATATTCATGTCTCGACAATAATAACAGAAATGCCTAAACAATGATGTCCGTGTGAGCGTGGCAGCGTTCGAGAGGTATCGATTCGACTTCCTGGAAGATAGCAACCAGCGTAACGTGCGATATCGTGCGTGTTATTAGGTACGAGGAGAACCATTTCTCCGTAAGGTGCATAAAGAGGCGTACGCAAACGAGTATCAGCGGCAGTAAAACGAGCATGTCGGCATGGCGGCTGTGTGTTTTCAATTGTCCGCGAACGCGCTGGTTCTTTTGTCACCGTACCAACAATCCGCGCGCTGACAACAGCAGTCGCTGTTGAAAGCGAAGCTGACGAGAACGAAATTATCGACAGCTACGCTGGAACTGTGCACGGTGCGTCGCGATACATCGCGAATGCAGCGGAATTTTATTCGCGAGCATGGCCGATGGACACGCTCGGAGATTTTGCGAGTCTGAGATTTCGACGGAAGTTCTTTGATCCTCAAGTTCCGTGCAATTAAAAAGAAAGCTAAGCGCGCCAGAGCGTGGCGAGTCCCAGGCTGTTTATTCACCTTTTATTTATTGTCAGTGTCGAGTTAAACACGGTGTTTCCTGAAGTTCGAAAAATTTGCTTCAACATTTAAGACTCCTGGTTGTTCGCCGCAGAACACTCGTTCAATGAAGTTTAAGAGCGAGAAAACGCATGCCCAAAATTCTTGCGTGCCATTTCCAAGTAAAAAGATGCTTGAATAAGAGAACAGTCCAGATCGCTTGAGCATACTCGCAACATGATCCATAAATTATTTTTTGGCCTCGACAGTCAGTAAATGGCCGTAAAATTAACGTGGCGAGCAACTTTCCTCTTTAACCCACCTTTATCACGTCACGTTCAATTTCGCGGTTGTTTATTGACCGTCAAGGCAAAAGGATAGTTTTCAAAGTATACTTATTGCAAGTATACTTAAGAACGATCTCAATTGTTCATTCATTCAAGTACTTTTTTATTTGGAAATGGAGCGCGAGAATTTTCTGCATATCATTCCTCGCTTCTGACGTCACAAACCAACATGGCCGCGGCGAATATCCAAGAGCTTTAGGGCCATCGCACACAAAATGGCATAGCTGCATGTGCACAGTATAAGGCCACCTCAAGCAATGAACGTCCAGGAAAGAGTTACTATATTAATTTGCACAACATGCTCATTGGTCTATTTTTATTTTGTGTGCGATGACCCTCAAGCTGGAAGTAAAGAAAAAGAAAAATGCATGAGATTGTGCGAAGAACCTGATTTATCTGCGAGCTTCCGTAATGCTCGACCGACAAATTTATGTGTCACGGAGCGGAAACAACGGTGGCTCACTGTTTCCGGTCTCCATTTCCTTCTAATAGATTTCGTTTCTCGTCGCACGGTTCTTTCCGAGCGCGGCAACGGCATGAAATTTCGTCGAGTATTGAAGACGCGGCAATCGAAGTAAAAGCTCCAGCTCTCGACTTTGCGATTTGTAAACGCGTGACACAAAATACACAGAGGCTCAGGTCCGTGTATTAATAGTTGTTACTTGAAACCTGCCTCAGGTGAGATACTCAGCTTTTTATTCAGAGTCAGTCCTTTTCATTTGAATTACGACAAATATGATATCTCTAGTCGCGACTCAATTGGAAATCTCTCCTCTAACTCTGAATTGAAATCTGAGTATCTTATTTGAAACGAAGTTTTAAGTAATGACTATTAATACTTAGTGATTCACTGTCCGTTGCCAATTGCAACGCAAAATGATTATTACACGATTGTGTTTGAGGTGCAATTCGGTAGGTGCTGAAATCTGGTATACGAGTCGAGGAGAAGCACGCGTTTCTCTTGTGTCAATAAGAATCACGAGATATTTTTCGATCGTTCGTTTCGCGCTGTACGTGGCAGGAATTACACCATGGTTGACTTCATCGGGCTTAATCACTTATTATTTACAATAATGACACATTGCCGCGAGCAAGAGAGACTCTGATAAATGCTTTGCGACGATACCGCGTCCTTCCGTTGCCTCTTTTCCGTAGGATATGATTGCGATCTCGTAATATCAAATCATACCCACATCTATCATTTTCTAATTATTACCAGATGGTTGATCAATATTACTAATTTAATACGAAATTTCGCACTGAAATGCTCAAATGCATTTGTTGACTACTGGATTTGTTACAAGAGTTCTTTTTCTGTGTACACAAAGAGATTATCTCGCGGAAAGTAATATCGTGATGCAAGTGTTCGCGTTAACAAGAGCAAAATTTGAATTAATGGATTAAAATAATTCGTATTATCGATTCGTATTATCATATAAGATAATTAGTATTATCAGTGTTATCAATGTTCAGATATTGGTACTTTTATTTTACTTTAAATTGAAAAACGAATTTGTCTTTCTCTTTCTCTCTCTCTCTCTCTCTCTCTCTCTCTCTCTCTCTCTCTCTCTCTCTCTCGCAATGTTTTGCGTTAGATCATAAATTTCGCTCTACCAGAGAAAAATATTTGCCTCAGCACGAAAATATCGGCGAATCCGGCGACACAGGGCCAAATGTTGTTCGGCAAATAATCGATATTTGCGGCACGAAATCGACGTCGCGCCGTCGTCGTCTCGACGTGCATACACGCGCACGTATCTTACATACATATCAACATAGACACACACACACACACACATATGAATCTTATACGCATAGAATCCGCTACTCGCGACGTATTTACACGCTAAACTGTCAATGACTCATTCGTTCAGCGTCCCCTTTGCCCACCCTTTCTCCCAACGCGTTCTTTCCTCGTCAGCAGCGTTCTTCACGCGCGCGCTGATGCGCATTTAGGCAGATTGAAAAGTTCATCTGAGTCAACGCGAAAAAATGCGTGGAATAACGCAGATCTAATTATCGTGCGTGGGCGACCGGCGTATCGATCGGCGTTTACTTCCCACGCGCGCATTTTTTTCTTCCTCGTCGTTCCCGTCGTTTTGCGTTTTATGACGAAACCAACTTGTTTTTCCCATTTTTTTTTCTTCCGCGCACTGGATGCGCAGTAGTCGCGGCCCTCGGCCATTCGCTGATGTATTAAAATTAATGCCACGATATTTGCGTTATAAGATCGCGACGGTTATAGTTGCGTCGGTAGAGAATGCAATGTTATTTTGCGAGATTGCGAGTTATCTCAATTAATTACATTGCCGTTCAGGCAACGACACACCCGTTATGCGGGGTTCCATGATATCGGCTTCGTCTTATCGCGTGACATATTATTTGCACCACGGGAGGATTCATTAGAAAGCGAGTAACGATATGTCATCAAATTCGCCCGCGAAACACAGCGAACGTATGTACGGAATAAACTCGCGCGTAAGCACGAACGAAAGAGACGACGCGGAGTAAGAAAAGGTCTGCATTCCACGTGGGTGAAGTCACAGCACAACGTCGGATTTTGTTAAGCGCATTATCAGTACGCGGCGTCATTGTGACACGATGCAAGGCCATCGATTTCGTCCGAGTTCTCCTGTTTCTCTTTTTTTCTCTCTCTCTCTCTCTTTCTCTCCTACGTTGTTCACTTCTCTCTTCTACGTCGGTTACTTCTCTCTTCTACGTCGTTCACTTCTCTCGGCGAAGTGATCTC